CCCCCCCCCCCCCCGTAAAATAGTAAAACGTATCCCTTTCTAACAACATGAAATACCCAGAGCCCGAAATTTAAAATAGTATCGTTGAATGAAACTCCCGAGTTTCCTTTTTTGGGGTCTTATTATTTGCGTAGATTTTGATTTAAGAGATTCGGAAAAAATGGAGAATACAAAAATATTGATATTCACAAACCCCCTAACCCTATTCGTGAAACTCGGGTTTTAAAACTGGTTTTCAGAACGATACCCTGTCTTAAGTTTTGGGCTCAGCCCTAAATTTAAAAGAGTATCGTTTAATGAATCTGCAGAGTTTTCATTTTGGGGTCTTAACATTTAAGTAGATTTTAATTTAAGAGATTTGAAAAAATGGAGAATATAAACGAACTGAAAAAAAAATAATATTTCATTACAAAAATATTAATATTCACAAAAGTACCTAACCACATTCGTTAAGCCCGGGTTTTAAAACTGGTTTTAAGAACGATACCCTGTCTTAAGTTTTGGGCTCAGCCCTAAATTTAAAAGAGTATCGTTTAATGAATCTCCAGAGTTTTCATTTTGGGGTCTTAACATTTAAGTAGATTTTAATTTAAGAGATTTGAAAAAATGGAGAATATAAACGAACTGAAAAAAATAATATTTCATTACAAAAATATTAATATTCACAAAACTACCTAACCACATTCGTTAAGCCCGGGTTTTAAAACTGGTTTTAAGAACGATACCCTGTCTTAAGTTTTGGGCTCAGAGGTCCCTTTGTACTATAAAATGTAGAGTTATATCATTGTTCAGGGTCTTTCAGGATGTGACTCTGTAAAGACCAAGGTACTAATGCGCGCAAGGAAAGTTAATTGCGGTCGCGTATACTCTGCGTACACATTGAAACCAGTTCTTTCTGGGGGAAATTTGTAAACAAGAATAGATGCATCAGTGTTCGTTTAGTATCCGAGGAGGATAAAAACATTTAATTTTGATAATTTTGAAAATTCACATAATAGTTTCCTAAGACCAGAATACTTCATAGATTATTTTTATGAAAATGGATTTCATGCCAGGCTTCGACATCCGTCTTGAGTTTACTTTTCCGCCGAAGACAGTACACTGCAGTACAAAAAATGCGTACACCTCTGAAATAACTTTCCTTGTATTAGCGCCATGGTAAAGACTACCTCAGATATAAATAACAGTTGGAGGGAATCATGAATATGAGGAAGAGATAGTTTTCATTTAAAACTTATATTTTTTGCATAATTCACCATAAAACAATATTATCTAAAGGGAGATATCAAGCGATCCATCTTTTTGATTTAGTTTTTACATAAAATAAAAATATACATGTTAAGATCCATCCTAGAAGCCTGAAATAGCAATACCCCATGCATAACATACAGTAGGAATGTGTTTGATTGGTCATATGCTGACTTGTTCTAAATAATTGGCTTATGTTTATACATTTTAATTCTTTCTTTTATTTGATATTTTCCTGAATTGCAATGAATATACTCCTAAAAATGTTTTGATTTTTAAGAAAGCTGTTACTTTGAAACAGAATGTTTATGAAATAAGAATATGAAAAAGTAAGATTTTTTTACGGTATCTTCACCATAATATTTTTTATTTATATTTGTGTGAGGTAATAAATCTTAATAATAATGATGTTCCAGCGTCCTCAGTCCCGCCTGTTCTAGCTGGAGAGCTTGGTCCCTTGCAGCCTGTGATAACTCCAGAAGTCCTAACCCATCCTAGAATAAAAGCAAAAATCTTATTTTTTAAGAGCGTGATCTGTCTGAAGTTTGTATTTCAGGAGTTTGCATTTACAAAGTTTGTATGTCTAGAGATTGCATTTAAGTTTTTGTAAAGCAAATTGAGAATGTATCATTTACTCTCAGACAAATTAGAATCAATGGAAATTTAAACCCCCGAGGGATTCAATGATAAACCCAAAGGCGAAGCCCTCGGGTTTATCATTGAATCCCTCGGGGGTTTAAATTTCCAATAATTCTAATTTGTCTGAGAGGAAATGACATTCCTTTGTAAAAAATAACAAATTATTTTTATTATTTATTATTATTTTTAAAAGGGGCGGGATTAAATGAAAATTGTTGCATACCAAAAAACCAGCTATTTATAAAGGAATGAGTATTGGATTACAAATTACTTTAAAAGCATTGCTCATAAATTCAACATTAGTTTATGTCAAGTTAAGGCCAGTGAATCCAAATTGTACTAAGCACAATAATTAATTTTTCTATTTTCAGACAAATTGATTAGAACTTAATATTGTTTTTGCTCCTACACTATAAACCAGTTCTAAAATTAATCCTGGTCCTTAATCGAGAGATTAAATATTTAACGCGGGTCAATTAAAGTATATTTAGTGGGGGTAATTAGAAATTTATTTTGGATATATTCATTTATTTGGTAGATAAACGTATTTTTACATATGTTTGGGATTTACACCCTTAATATTGACACACAATTCTTTTGAAATTGATAAAATATTCTAAAACAGCATTGATATATATTTTGCAGAAGGTATTCCATTTGATGAAAGTGTATCACAAATGCGTCTTTTTTACATATATATTACATATATTCTAACAAATCAAAAATACATGAAAAATGATTCAAAATTTAGACCAAATCCAAAAATGAATTATAAAATTTTTTTTCAACCTTGAAGTTTTTTGAAAGCTAGTGCCAGTTTTTTCAAGTCTTTTTTATCAATTTATATTAAGATTGTACTTTGCATAGTCATGATATCTTGTTTTTAAATATTACGCATGCAAATTGCATATATTAATTATTATATTTCAAATCCAAAAATAGATATTTTCAAGATCACTATATTCAGGCTTTTAACAAATGAACCTAAGAGATTTTTTCATCTATTTCCCGTGCTTGATCTTGGTTTTCTGCCGTGCTCTAAAACATAAGAAGAAAAAATTTCTCATAATTCTCATTTAATTTAGTCTAAAAAAATTATTTGGATAAATTGATCAAATGTAGGCTTAGTAAAAGTTAGCTCAGATACAAAACAGAAAACGTTATTTTATTATTTTTTGCGTACATTTAAAGTGCATAAAAAAAACAAATTTGCCGTTATTTTAAACTTGTGTAACCGTTTTTGCTTCGGTTTTCAATAATAAAAAATAAAATTTATTTTATGTTAACTGAATCTCACGTTGATTTTTAGAAATAATTGTTTGTAAGCAGAACTTTTCCCAACCTTAGTTGTCCAAACAGTGATAACCACAAGACAATAGAATATGAAGACGACATTATAGCAATACTTAAGTTATTTTGATGTTTTTAACAAAAAAAAACAATTTTTACAAGATACTTATTAAATCACTAAATTAATGAAATATTTGCAATGCACAAATGCTGTTTCATATGCTTAATGAAGTTTTCAAAGTAATAACTTGATTCTAAAAGTCGTCATCCTATTTAAGAGTTTTCTGGATAATCATTGTATGTATACAAACCTATCAGGAGATTCTATCCATGAGTTTATGTCAATACTTTCTCTCTTCAATCTCCAGGCTTCATCTTCATCTTTAATTTGCCTTTGTTCTCTTCCAAACTCTCTTCTTAGCTCAACAGAGTTTATTCTTACTTCCCTACACACAATACAAAGTTTATTCTTACTTCCCTACACCTTCTTTTACACAATACAGAGTTTATTCTTACTTCCCTACACACAATACAAAGTTTATTCTTACTTCCCTACACCTTCTTTTACACAATACAGAGTTTATTCTTACTTCCCTACACACAATACAGAGTTTATTTTTACTTCCCTACACACAATACAGAGTTTATTCTTACTTCCCTATACATAATACAGAGTTTATTCTTACTTCCCTACACGCAATACAGAGATTATTCTTACTTCCCTACATGCAATACAGAGTTTATTCTTACTTCCCTACACATAATACAGAGTTTATTCTTACTTCCCTACACGCAATACAGAGTTTATTCTTACTTCCCTACACACAATACAGAGTTTATTCTTACTTCCCTACACATACTACTGTTACGCGAGCCATGCTGCGTGTAGAAAGTCTGCTTGTCACCCCTGGGTATTTCTGAGTTCTCCCTGAAGATCTGTACGGAATGTATTGTGTAGTTTATTCTTACTTCCCTACACACAATACAGATTACTTCCCAACACACAATGAAAAGGTTATTCTTACTTCCCTACACACAATACAAAGTTTATTCTTACTTCCCTACACACAATACAAAGTTTATTCTTACTTCCCTACACACAATACAGAGTTTATTATTACTTCTCTACACACAATACAGATTACTTCCCAACACACAATAAAAAGGTTATTCTTACTTCTCTACACCTTCCTTTACACAATACAGAGTTTATTCTTACTTCCCTACACACAATACAGAGTTTATTCTTAATTCCCTACACACAATAGAGAGTTTATTCGTACTTCCCTACACACAATACAGATAACTTCCCAACACACAATAAAAAGGTTATTCTTACTTCTCTACACATACTACAGAGTTTATTCTTACTTCCCTACACACAATACAGAGTTGATTCTTACTTCTCTACACGCAATACAGAGTTTATTCTTACTTCCCTACACACAATACAGAGTTTATTCTTACTTCCCTACACGCAATTTAGAGTTTATTCTAACTGCCCTACAAACTAGTACAAAGTTAATTAATATATTATTTCTTATAAATTATTCCTTACTTTTGTGATCCTATGTAGTAGCTTTCTCCTTTGCCCTTCTACACAAAAAAAGTAATTTTAGTTTGAACAATTTATGATTATTTAAAAAAATGAAAATAAAATTTAACCAGTGGCAGTAAAGTGATATTAATATTATCATTTTCAAACATTTTCTAATTAAAGAATTTTCAAAATTAGGTTTAAACGAAACGATTAAGAGAATCTTAAATATTTTGCTTTCCAAAGAATGATCTCAAATTTTTTTGTTGAAAATTTTAAAATTTATTTTATTCCTTATCAGAGTTTTGGGTTAGCAAATAGTTTGTTCTCTCTCGAAACCTAAAAAATTCATATTCTTCACTTTATAATTTCTTAAAGAAAATCTTAATTTATTTAAAACCTAAGATAAAAGGGGTATGGTCTAATTGTCTACGGTACCGTTTAAACCATTATCAATAATGTGGAAAGTATTTTCGTTTTCTAACTTGAAAATATTTTGTCATCACTGTCATCTTTCTTGTTTATATCACTTCATAGAAAAAGTCAAAACTAAAGATGATAAATTTTCAAATAAAAAATCTACTATAACGCAAGGTTATAATGCAATTTCCGAGGTGTACGCATCTCTTGTACTGCAGTGTACTGTCTCTGGGCGGTAATGTAAACACAAGACGGATGTCACAGCCTGCCATGGGATCCATCTTACACATAAAAAATCAATGAATATTCTGGTCATAGGAAACTATTATGTGAATTATTAAAATTATCAAAATTTAATGCTTTAATCCTCCTTGGATACTAAACGAACAATGATGCATCTATTCCACCCAGAGAGAACTGGTTTCAATATGTACGAAGAGAATACGCAACTGCAATTAACTTTCCTTACATTATAACCTTGGTTATAATGCAAGGAAATAACCTTGCTATAACGTATTCTAATTCTTTTTAACGTATTCAAACTGCTTTAAAGGGTAACGTTTGAGATTCGGATGTTTAGTCCAATGTTTAAATTGGAAAATTGGACAAAGAAGAAATTTTTTTACAAATTATCAAAATAAAGCTGTGATTTAGTTTGTTTGAAAAGTACCTTTCTTGGATAATTTTAGCCGCTTTCTCTTCATTTTGTCCATCATAATCCCGGACCCGGCCTTCAGCTTGGGCTTTCTCTAGTGCTGACCGTCTTTCACTTACCATTAGTCGCCTGGATAATGGGTCAAATGAGACAGTGGGACATACAGGGTTACACTTAAAGGATGAGACTTCAGAGACGATTGTATGGAATTTGTTTAGTCCATTTCCTTGCATTCAGGGTTCCTTGTCGACCAAAACTGGCTTATTTATGCGCTTAATCATATTGTAAATCATCAAAATACTCAATTGAGTGGAAAACCAAAAAGCAAGCTTCGAATCGTCATTTTTTAAGTGATTTGGGTCGTCTTTAAAGTCTCATCCTGTACACAACGGTAGAAGGAAAAGTCAAAAACCCAATTTTAAGTTATTTTTAATAATAAGTTGGTGGTTTAGTAGCTGAAAACACATTTATCTACTCTTTAAATATAAACAATAATTTTAACTGTTGATTCAGGAATACATAAAAAAGAAGACTTTGACCGTATCCCGATTGGGCTATTTTTTTCTAATATAGATTGGGGGGGGGGGTGTCTCCATCCCCTCTATAAGTTGAGATAGGGGAGTGTGATACATATCCCTAGTCCAACTTTTCAGTGCCTGCTCATTAATAAAAAAGTAGACTTCTGACTTTGATGGTTAGGGTATAAGGGAGGATTTTTAAAAAGTTCAAGAAGAATGTCAAAAAAATGTTCAAAATTTGTTATTTTTATTTTTAACAAATATTTACATATGACACATGCTGTTTTATCCATTTTTTAGGGGCTTTTCAAACATATAAGTCTTAGCCCTGTAGCTTAACTAAAAAAAGTTATGAACCATTTCTGATGGTTTAGAAACACCGACCCGCCGTTTAACCGTCCTTCACCCTACCCTTTGTTATCAAAATTTGTTTACAACTATGCTGTTGAAAAAGTGGAAAACACCCCCCCCCCCCCAATTGTGATGGGGGTTAATGACAACCTGAAAACAAAATCAAGATTAAATCTAGATTTGTTTCTGTAATATAATTCATTCAGTCTCGTGGTATACCGTTGTCTCTTGTGTAAGAACAAATTAAGAATACGATATATATTTAGGTTTAAATGAACAAGGTATAAGTTTTAACTTCTGTTAAAATCTATGGCTACACAATTTTTAAATTACGATTTTTATAGGACATTTTTTAATATGTACAGTGATAACCAGAAAACAATGGAATAGAAATACGACATTATAACAATAGCGTTTTGATGTTGTTATACAAAGCACAATTTAAATGAAAAGGGTTTATTTACACAGTACAATTGCTATGTCTAATGTTCATTTAACTAGTTAAAGTCCTAACTTGAGCTTAAAAGTCGTATTCCTATTTCGGAGTTTTCTGGTGTTATCACTGTAAAAATTAAGGTTTTTGTTTTTTATACTATACAATTTAAAGTATAGTATTAGAAGGTTTTTGTCCGTTACTTTTATGGTAATTATTCATGAATTGATTAGCGTTTTGGGTTAATTTATCAAAAGTCCAAGGTAGGTGGGAGGGGGAACGGGAAGGGGGAAGGGGGGATCACTGCCAATTCTGTACAAAATGGTCTATTTATATTAACTAAAAGATATCAATTTTATTAAACATGAAATCAATTCCTTTAATCATAGTGTTAGACCCCTCCATGAACTACTGTAGTAAATGTTCTACTCCCTAAGAGTCTCTTAGACTTGTATCAATCCAGGTACATCTCAATCCCACCGTTGGTCTACGAGGTATAAAAGCAAACAACTCTTCACTATCAATGTCAACAAGGACACAATCTCATAAACTATCAATGCCAAACATTGGCACGATCTCATAAACTATCAATGCCAAACATGGGCACGATCTCGTAAACTATCAATGTCAAACATAGACATGATCTCGTAAACTATCAATGTCAAACACAGACATGATCTCGTAAACTATCAATGTCAAACACAGACATGATCTCGTAAACTATCAATGTCAAACACAGACATGATCTCTTAAACTATCAATGTCAAATATGGACATGATCTAATCAACTCGTTTGCTAAACAAGGAACGATTACTTCTCTCCTGTAGTCAAAGTGGAGTCTATTCCAACTGAGTGTATTTTTTGTTCTTTGATACAGATTAAGCTTAATAGACGTAATTACGAGTTTGCGACGTTATTGCAGTTGAGCTAATCACAGCATGGGTTTGACATAGTTAATTATAGACATATCTAGGTTAGAGTATTCACAATAAAGATTTGCGTACTTAGATTTACGGACAATGTACAACCTAATTGATCTAGGGGCAACTATGGGATCTGCCATGGTGTTAATTACAAACTGGCAGGGTGGGGGTGCAGTGAGCAGTGACTCAATATCAAAATTGACCTAGACTTCCTTCATCCCATGGAAAAGAAACCTGGCCTATTTGTAAGAAAGACGGGTTCATGTGATTTCAAAAACTTATGCATGGCTGTAGAAGTTTCATTAGCAGAAATTTTCTGTTGTGTCAGTGCCACACCAAATATAATCTGTGGATCCATTTGTTATGCAGATCTATATAGTCTGGTTACAATTCCCCATCCTGAAATTATTTCCAGCATGCAACCATTTTCCAATGATAGCAGAAACCACAAAGCGTGTCTGGGTCACTATTAATAAAATAGATTTGCAGATAACCACACTGATCCAAATCCATGAAAAAGTCTTGTAGGTAACAGAGTATAAGATTGCAACCTTATACACACCAAATAAAAGATTGTGAACCCAATTTAATTACCTTCATTACTTTAACGTGTACCATAAAACTCAAAATATAGATCAGTGGGACATGAATCTTTGCTTCATTACGTTTAGACATGGATTAATTCTGTAGAGGAGCGAAGAGTCACCTAAAGTTGAATCTTGATTGATAGATACAGACTGACAAGTACAGAGAGTGTTGTATCTGGATTGATACAAGACTAAGGTTTTATTGTAGAACACTGAATTCTAGAGCACATAGTATCTCGATTGATAGATTCTGACAAATACAGAGGCTGTTTCTCAAGTGATAGATACTGACAAATATAGAAGTTGTATCTGGATTGATATTGGAGAAAGGCATTTTTTACATATATGCTAATGATAAGCATCGATAGGTTTTCTCAGAATTAAATAGCGTAGTTAGGGTACAGATAATGCACAAGGTAATATATATAGGTATGTTCAGGTTTACAAATATGGAGTTTACTTACGATATTTATTACAATAGCTTTTGATCAAATGAGTACTGATCTCAGAAAAGTTGAAAACTTTAAAAATTAAAACTACAAATTTGAAAATGTTTTGTATAAATATTTAAATACCTTCGTTCTTGTTTGTAAAATAGAGAGAAGTTTTCTGAAACTATCGGAACCGGAAGTGCAATTACCAGAGTTCCGGTGATAGCGCAGATAGATCCAACTATTCGTCCAACAACAGTCTTTGGAAATACATCTCCATACCTGAATCATGAAAATTAAAAAGGAAAACGTAAAAAGGTCAATGAAAAATATTGAAAATAAATAAGAATATATGTTAAGTTAAAGGGAGTGTTCGCGAAAAATGAAAGGGGGTATAGCTTAATGAAAAGCACTTTTGATCGCTACTAATTTTACTTCTATCTGTTGCGTCTATAAGGAGAAAATTGTTAAAGACGTACGTCTCATAACGAATGACTTAGCGCCCATACAAATTCAGAAAATTGCAACATACAACTTAGACCGTAAAAAATCAATTTAATTTCAAACAAATCATTCAGATATTATACAACCTATAGTCATCGATTATCTTTCGCCACATTTGTATATAGTTTTAATTATATAATATTTTATTTTTTTTAGATAACGTTTTTAACGGATTTCGAAAAATGTGAGTGGTGCGCGGCATTCTTAGATAGTTGCGCAAGCGACAAGAGAAATAATCAAATTCAAAACAAATTAATTAAAAAATATTTATAAATCCTCATATCAAGAACATTTTTTTAACACTTAACCAGCAAAATATTCAGGATCAATTACAATGTTGATGTCAAAATCGTCTTTTAATTTACATTTTTATTGCGACACCCTGTACTTTACGTACTACAGGGTGTCCCACGAAATATGACATTTGGTAAATAATTTTAAATGGCTTCTTCTATAATTTTTTAAGTTCATTTATACCAAAGAGAATAAAAAAAGTATCACTTAGTAAAATTGATTTAAAGTAAAACAAATGTTTAAACGTTGACTGCAAAAAAATCTGTAATATCTTATATAGTACTAGCTGAAGTGCCCAAGTTTGCCTGGGGGAAAAAAGCGAGAAAAAATGTTGAATAAAAGAATAAAATTTCGAATTTTTTTTTAGCCTATAACACCCCAAGGCGACCCATGAGTGTCAACAAAAAAATTCAGCCCAATCAGTTCAGCCGTTTGGCCGTCTATACGCAACATATTTACGTATGTCTTGTTTTATTATATAGATATTCACCAACTGTCATGTTTCGCGGGACACCCCATATACTCTTATATTCTTACCCAACTGTAGTCATAGTAATGGCTGCCCACCAGAAGGCATCAATCACACTGGTAAACTTTGTGGAAGCAAGTTCTTTCTCAGACATATAGGTCAGAGCACTGTCAATAAACAAGTTTAGTGTTAATATCCTTGTTTTTAAAATACAGTGGGACTTATAAATCTGTGGAATATGAAGACACGATCTTATGCATATTCAAGTTCTTTTTAAGCAAATAGTTTTACCAGTTCTTTATAAATCAAATCATGAAATGGTTCCATATAATAGCTGCAGGTTGTCAACTTGCCATGTTTATGAATCCAGAAAATCCTTATCGTCGGTTGTACAGTGATAACTAGAAAACTGTAGAAGATAACAATAAAGCAATTAATGTTGTTACACAGCAAATAGCTTTAGTAGTAAATCATAAAATCAATTATTAAGAGAATATGATCTGTTTACATTCCACAATTACAATTCCTATTGGACTATTTTAAGTCATAACTTGAATTTTAAAGTAGACTTCCTATTCCAGAGTTTTCTGGTTATCAATGTAATTTCTACTTTTCGAAATTGTGGCAAATCGGTTAATTTGTTAAAGCATCAAAGCCGATTTTCTGAACAGAAAGAGCAATTAATGGGGATTATGATTTTTATATAAGTTTGTTTCCTGAATATAAGAATTCCTATTCCAACAAACATCAGAATAAGGCCAAGTTCTTTGTAGGACGCCTAGGTTTCAAGCAACACATAATATTCATTTATTTCTACTTCAAATATCGCTAAAGGCAATACATACTAATCACAAAAATTTATTGGCTAATCCCTATATCTTTGCAACCAATTTAATATTTAAAACCAAGACTATTTGATCTAACATAGCTTGAAATATCAACGGTCTTAAACATCAAGTTAGTAAGATATAAAAATCAGAAAATTATAATTTGAAACGAGAGCTTTTTTAATAAGTAAGAAGGGACTATCTGGATCTACGTAATTCCGAGTGGTATTATCATTATCATATTTCCTTGTCGTCTCTCTGCAAGTCACATTTACACAGAAATTAAAATTGTCAATTTTCAGAGAGAAAAAAGAAAGATATCTCTATCAATTTGCCCCAGCAACGCTTTCTGTTTTGAATCAGTCTCTTTTTATAAATCCGAGGTGAAATATGAAGAATGAGGCACTAAACACTAAAATTGATTTGAGTAATGAACTAGGCTGGTTTTATTTTGCAAAGAAAGGGAGGGTTGACGCTTAAATTATAGTTATAAATACTAGATTAATTATAAAACAATGATAGGTGGCAAATGATGGAAACAGATTGATAGATATAAATGAAAGCTGTTTCAAAAATATCCAAATAAATTTCAAGTTTAACTCAGTGAAAATGTGTTCTGAATGATTATATGATTTCCTTCATTGTGTATCCTAGACCCTGTAATCCACGGGAATGCCGCGCCATCTTGAATACTCTCATTATCCGCAATATTCTAAACATCAGCTGATTTATTATTCTAAAAATTAGTTAATTAATATTCTAAACATCGGCTGAATTATTACTCTAAGCATCGGCTGATTTATTATTTAAACATCAGCTGATTTATTATTCTATACATCAGCTGATTAATATTCTAAATATCAGCTGATTAATATTCTAAACATCATCTGATTTATGTTCTAAACATCAGCTATTATTCTAAACATCAGCTAATTCATTATTCTAAACATCAGCTAATGTATTATTCTAAATATCAGCTGATTTATTATTCCAATCATCAGCTGATTAAATATTTTAATCACAAGCTGATTATTATTCTAAATATCCCATTCCCCATAACCGTAATTTGGTTAATTGTTGATTTATATATACATTTCTTCCTCGCTGCATGCGAAAGGATTAATCTACAGTCGTATATATCAATACAATGAAGACAACTTTTAATTTTAATTATGATTTCTATCAAGGATTTAAAACAACATGGATACACATAAACATGGAACCGAAGTAAATTCTCTTTATTTACATGTAAATTTGACTTTGAAAAGAGCTTGTTGTAAATCAACCCTTAAGTATATAAGTCGTCCTCATTCTAATGATATAATCGCCAACTACGTACTGTAGTTTAGCTACTTTTCACTATTCATTAAATCCAACCTTTAAACTGATCTAGTATTTTGTTACTTTGAGATATCCCAAACAATCTGTTAAAAGTCCAGATAAAATGTTCAAAATATAGAAATGATTTTTGGACAGTTTAACATAGAACTTCGGAGACATCGTTAGAATTTATAAAATGTCGTTATTCCAATGTAAGGCTGCAAATAACTGTAGTTAGATATTACGAACATTCTGTTATAGTTTCTACCTGAGAACTTGACCAACAGTTTTAACACTGTCAAGAGAGTTGAGAAGAGGAGAAAGATAGTAAGGTAATATTGCCAGCAGATCAATTATATTCATAAAACTTTGTATAAATCTAAAATATAAAAATGTCAGCACTCAGCAGTTTCTGGAATACAAATTCACATGGTACAAGGTACAACGCAAAATAGAAATTAAAAGCAGTAAGTATGTATTCAGAATAGTTTCCAAAAGTTTTGCTGGATTTAATTTAAAGGGAAAATAATTATATTTTTTCTGAGGGCCTGGGGGGGTGGAAAATTTTAAAAATATACATATACCATGAAAAGAACTCTTTTCTATACAAAACTACAGTTTTTAGTTTGGACAAAAACAATAATGTTTTTTTTCATATTTAAATCAGGATGGTAGAACTACGGAGGGGTATTGGGTAGGGTGGCCCGGTGAGTAGATTTTTCTACATTAGAATTCAGTATGTGTGCAGAATACATGCCCCTAAATATAGTACGAACTTCAAAAAAAAAATTCAAACATTTTTTTAAAATGACGAGCTAAGAGCTTTATTGATAACAAATCCAACAAAAATTGCACAAGTAAGACTGGAATAATATATCCAAAAGGGGTTCAAAAGATCCGTCTTAAAACATTAAATCAGTAAAATGTAATTCACAGGAATTCATTATTTATTCAACCAGTTAGAGAAAAAAAACAGACCCCGGCCATCGATAATTGTCCAAAAAAAATGTTGCAGCCCATTCGGTCCAGCCGTTTGGCCGGCTATATGTAACATATATATGAATGTCTTGTTTTATTGTAGGCGCAAAAGACCAAAGATCTTGGTTTCAAAACCTACCCACGCTAGGGGCCTTGTATTGAGTCACATTAAACACCATAATAAATAATAAACACCAAAACAAAAATTGCAGACGAGGCTAAAGCTTTTCTCTTAGCTGTATGTGGTCCTCTAGTAGCACTTGGGCATCTTACTATAAGTAGTAAGATGACCAAGTATGATATTGAATATTTATTAATACATAGTTTTTAAAAACTGTTTCTAAAGAGGTTTGATTTCAGAATGATTAAAGAGATTGTATACGTATTACAAGTGCCCCCGATGTTATCTGGTTGCATGCCTAACTCAAAACGAATTTTCTAAAGATTTCTAGGTAAATATCCTTTACTTATCGTTTCACGTACGAGGGTGCTAGAGCGTCGGGAAACCCGTCGGTCGCAGAGTGCAATTATTGGCACTCGAATAAAGATTTAAAAAGTATCTCGTTGTACTTGGGACATTTTAGATTACTTCGTAAGTCCTTTTAACGAAAAAAAAACTTGTGACCTGTAATGATCTGGACAGGATAGGAAGCGTCCCAGGAACTCTATAGTAAACCAGGTCATGTAAATTGCTTCCAGGATTTCAATCGTATAATTGGTATCTGAAAATATTTTAATGGTATAATTGCTTTCTAAAAATTATTTTAAGTGTAGAATTGCTATCTAAAATTATTTCAATCGTATAATTGGTTTCTAAAAACTAATTCAAGCGTAGAATTGCAATTTAAGATTATTTTTATTGTGTAATTGCTATCTGAAAATATTTCAATTGCAGAATTGCTATATAAAAATACTTTAACCGTTTAATTGCTATCTGCAAGTTTTTCAATCGTGGAATTGCTATATAAAAATACTTTAATCATGTAATTGCTATCTGAAAGTATTTCAATCGTGGAATTGCTATATAGAAATACATTAATCGTGTAACTGCTATCTGAAAGTATTTCAATCGTGGAATTGCTATATAAAAAATAATTTAATCGTTTAATTGCTAACTGAAAATATTTTAATCGTGGAATGGCAATTTAAAAATGTTTTAGTCGTGGAATGGCAATTTATTACTATTCTAATCTTGGAATTTCTACATAAAAATATTTTAATCATGGAATTGCAATCTAAAATATTGTAATCGTGGAATTGCAATTTAAATATTTTAACCGTGGAATTGCTATCTAAAAATATTTCAAGCTTATAACTTCAAATTTAAAATATTTCAAACGTGGTATGAAAAAGTGAAATTTTTCAATCGTGGAATGGCAATCTAAAAATATTGTAATCGTGGAATTTGAATTGCTATATTACACAGACGCTCAATGTTTCAACTTTGTTCAAGTTGATTTGTGAATAAATATAAAATAAAAATGGTATGTTCATAATAATATTATTTATGCTGATAATAGAAAAATTAATAATAATGATAATAATGACGATAAAAATCATGACTATAATAGTATTGATAATAACAATAATTATGATGATTTAAAAAATAGTAATAATAACAACAATATAAGGATAATAATAAAAAACTTACAGTTTGGGTCATCTCTATTACTATCCTCTAGAAGTGTGGAAACAACAAGAACAACTGTCGACAACAGAACGAAGAAAAAAGATACCAATGCAACTATTCGAGATCTAAAATATACCAATGCAACTATTCGAGATCTAAAATATACCAATGCAACTATTTAAGATCTAAAAGATACTAATGCAACTATTCGAGATAATATATTAATGCAACTATTCAAGATCTAAAATATACCAATGCAACTATTAGATATCTAAAATATACTAATGCAACTATTCGAGATCTAAAATATACCAATGCAACTATTCGAGATCTAAAAGATACTAATGCAACTATTCGAGATCTAAAATATATCAATGCAACTATTCGAGACCATAAGATACCAATGCAACTTTTCGAGATCTAAAATATACTAATACAACTATTCGAGATCTAAAATATACTAATGCAACTATTCGAGATCTAAAATATACTAGTGCAACTATTCGAGATCTAAAAGATACCAATGCAACTATTCGAGATCTAAAAGATACCAATTTAACTATTCGAGATCTAAAATGTACCAATGCAACTATTCGAGATCTAAAATATACTAATGCAACTATTCGAGATCTAAAAGATACCACCGCAACTATTCGAGATCTAAAAGATACCAATGCAACTAATCGAGATCTAAAAAATATCAATGCAACTATTCGAGATCTAAAAGATACCAATGCAACTATTCGAGATCCAAAAGATACCAATGCAACAATTCGAGATCTAAAAGATACCAATGCAACTATTCGAGATCTAAAAGATACCAATTTAACTATTCGAGATCTAAAATGTACCAATGCAACTATTCGAGATCTAAAAGATACCAATGCAACTATTCGAGATCTAAAAGATACCAACGCAACTATTCGAGATCTAAAAGATACCAATGCAACTAATCGAGATCTAAAAGATACCAATGCAAGTATTTGAGATCTAAGATATACCAATGCAACTATTCGATATCTAAAAATATAAGAGCGTTTCATCTCTTTGTTCATTTTAATGTTCTGGAAACCGTCTGTATTGAGCTTTTTTTATAATTATTTGTATTTTTATTTTGTACTGATAGCACTGTAAAAAAGCTAAAATATTTTAGAGATATTAGAAATAGACATTTGAAAAAACCTCGACTACATTTAAAAATAAGTAAACAAAGACGACATTTAGACAGCTTTTCCTGGCTAGGACTATAAATAATGAAGACATGGTAAAAAAAAAATTATCAAAAAAACAACTTTTTATAACACTGTTATTTAGGTTCGCAGTGTGCCTTAGTCCTCAGGCACACTGCCTGAATGACTACTAAATCTTAGATTTACCCACTTTCAGTTGTCAGATTTTGATAATTTTTAGCTTTTTGGAAAGCCTATGACAAAAGGAAACGGATTGCCGATTTTTGAAAAGATATTTTTTCCAATTTTGTGCATGCAACCCGTCGAAACAAATTTGCACATTTTTAGTTTTACTTAATTACACATCAAGTTATTTAAAACTTTCCGATTAATTTTGCATATTTGAAACGGCATGGTCAAGGGTTTTCAAAAATGTATATTTTATCAGTTTTTGGACATTTTTTCTTTTGCAAACATTTTTACTTTATAACTGGATTTTGCAAATTAGCAATTTTCTTTGAAAATTTTAAAAGTAGTGTATAAGAGCTCTTTAATGTTGTATTATTTGTCATATTTGGACATAAAACATGAGATTTAGAAAAGGGGATAACCCTAGTAGGGATAGGGTTGAAATATCATTATCACAATAAACAAGCAACAACAACCATTTACAATTTGATCAAAAGTACCTGAGTGTAAGATTTGGATATTCAAACAGATACCACCACCATTGCTTAGTTCGGCCTAATACAATTTTAATAAATTTGAACTACGTTGCTTAACTACTTACTGCCGATTCAGGGTTAAAGTTTCAGGAAGGATTCAAATTTGAGCGGTAGGAAGTTTAAATTCATTAAATTCGGTCGATCCCTGATCTGATTTTCATACAAAAATTCATCTCGGATTTTGTTTTAAACGTGCTGGGTAAAAAACGGAAAGATAGAGCAAAAATTTTCCAGAAAGGGTTTGAATTTTGGGATATAACGATATGAAGTTTAAAAATAGATTTATTTGTTCATTTACAACTATTTTCTAAACTGTTCTTAATTATCATGAAATAATAATCTATTACAGTGGTTTTATTTTTTTGGTAAAAATCTAAAAATCCCGCATCAGCAATTAGACAACCTGAGTTCGGGATTTTTAATTGGGACGACTCTAATCCACTTTCCAGATCCTCGTAATATAAATTTGTAAATTTGATATATCAGTAACTGTCCGTGACTTTTATGGCAGATTGCGTATAAGTTCTAAAGGGATTAACGCTGTAAAATAGATTACTCACTAATTAGACTTTCCCCTCTGCGTTAAAAAGATTAAATATTATATTACCTAAGCATGTATTTGGAAATATAAAAAAGTCGTCTTCTTCTCTTTTACTAGCTTGCTTCATCAGATCTTTTCTGTCATAATACGCCTCCTGCATTTATAACTTTTAAATAGTCATTACTCACTACAATCAAGGATATTGAGTACTGTGTACACCTTCTATAAATTTGTACCGGCCCGACACGCGTATTTTACAGTTCTGTCCTTATCCTATTGAATTATATATAGACCAAAAACGTCTGAAGCCTGTCCTATTTTGATTAAGTTCAAACCACGATTTACTTTTATCCATATTCCATTGAAAGTTTAAACAGTTCAAAGTGATTGTTCGTTACATTCACCTGTTTTGTAACTTAAAACGATAAAAGGCGACCTTTTCCTTAAACAGAGAAAAGACTGCCTCTACCTTAAACAGATAAAGACGACCTCTACTTTAAACAGATAATATACGACCTCTACCTTAATCAGATAAAAGACAACCTCTACCTTTAACAGGTCAAAGACGACCCATACCTTAAACAGATAATAGACGACCTCTACCTTGAATAGATAAATACAACATCTACCTAAACAGAAAATAGAAGACCTCTACCTTAAACAGATAATAGACTACTTCTACCTTAAATAGATTAATACTACCTCTACCTAAACAGATAATAGATTACCTCTTTCTTAAACAGATAAAGAAGACCTCTCCCACATAATAGACGACCTCTACCTTAAACAGATAATAGACGACCTCTACCTTAAATAGATAAATACGACCTCTACCTAAACAGATAATAGAAGACCTCTACCTAAACAGATAAAGAAGACCTCTACCTTAAACAGATAATAAACGACCTTTACCTTAAACCAATAAAAGACTGCCTCTACTTTAAAAGGATAGAAGATGACCTCTTCCCTGATAAGAAAAAGACGACCTCTACCTTAAAAATATAAAGATGACCTCTACCTGAAATAGAATGCAGACGACCTCTACCTCAAACAGATAATAGACGACCTCTACCTTAAACAGATAAAGAAGACCTCTTTCTTAAATTGATAAAAGACGACCTCTAAAGCTTAAACAGATAAAAGAAGACCTCTACTTTAAACAGATAAAACGACCTCTACCTTAAACAATTAATAGAAAACCTCTACCTTTAAATAGATAAAAACGACCTCTACCTTAAACGGATAAAAGACGACCTATACATTTAAAAAGAAAGACGACCTTTGCCTGTAAGTAAGGAGTAAGTATGAAGTAATTATTAATTTATGAAATATAAAAAATACAAATAAAAGGAAAACAAATCAAAGACGACCTCTACCTGACAACATGGTTCCACAAAGAGTTCACTGATCCCCCAAAATGTTAATTCTTCACTGAAAGCTATTGGACAGGTTTCCTGTGATCTGAAGTACATACAGTTGGTTAATTACAGTTTAACCAAGAACTCCAGACATATAAAAATAATTTATAAAATGTTGTATTCTTAACCTACCAATAATGGAATGCTGCAAATATAGTTTTTTAATCTTTTTTATTTTTCTATGGTTATTCTTTTGACAATATTTATTTATATTAATTACATTGTTTGATCGAACAATTATAATGAGCTCTCTAAACTGTTCCCGCATATTGCATGAATATTTTTTACAGTTACTGAGATTTAGGTACAGTTAAACTTTAAATAAGCCATACATCGAAAGAATTCATCAAATGTCGTATTCTTCACTTTCTGAAAATGGAATGCTCCAGATATTTAGATTTTTAATTAAATTATTATAGGAGCTTTTTAAAACTATTCCTGCATGTTGATGGCTATTCATTTATTTCCTTAAATACTGAGATTTACTTAAAAAAGTCGACATTTGATAAAATTCTTTCGATGTTTGGCTCATTTAGGGTTTAACTGTATACAAGTATAAAAACCCAATTAAAAATATTCAAGAAGACATTTTTTAATTCTTTTGATGTTTTTTAAAGGTTTTGGTTAAACTAAAGTAAAACAAGTCAATTTAGCAGAAAATTAACAAATAAAAAGAAACAGATTTCAAATTTTTAAAAAATGGTAATAGGATGCAATTTTGATCAGACAAAGGTTTTAAGGGTTTCGTTTCAAATCGTACATGCCACTCTGGCAATGCAGGGTACCTTGAAATTACAGGGTGTCCCACGAAACATGACAGTTTTAGTGTCTTCTTCCATATGCTGTATTAGTGTAAAAGACTGTTTGCAGTTTATTTCGTTAAAAAACTCTTTTAGTAAAGTTCATTTTACTTTGAAATCAATTTTACTATAATAGGACTACCATAAAATATTTGTTTGTCATTGGCTATGGTATCAAACAACTAAACAAGTTATGGAAGAAGACATTTAAAACTATTCACCAACTATCCTGTTTCGTGGGACACCCTGTGTAGTTTTCCTATTCTATAAACTCCACCTGTGTAGTTTTCCTATTCTATTTCCTATTCTATAAACTCCACCTGTGTAGTTTTCCTATTCTATAAACTCCACCTGTGTAGTTTTCCTATTCTATAAACTCCACCTGTGTAGTTTTCCTATTCTATTAACTCCACCTGTGAAGTTTTCCTATTCTATAAACTCCACCTGTGTAGTTTTCCTATTATATAAACTCCACCTGTGTAGTTTTCCTATTCTATAAACTCCACCTGTGAAGTTTTCCTATTCTATAAAAATTGATGATTGCTGCCACACTACGAGGATCTCGGTCAAAAAAGTACTCATTGTTCCCGTCATATCTATAAAGAATAGATATAAAATACAAAATATTGTTTGAATGAATTTTGGGAAGGTTTTCTGTTCTTTAATTTAAACGTAAACAAATTGAAAATATTTATTGAACCTGCAGTTATAGCCAGTATAAAGCGAAATTAAAGTCTTCTTTCTTTAGCCTTCTATATGTATACTTTGCTTGGGTGTCTTAATGTTTTTCTTTTTGTCTGTCCGTTTGTTTCCAATACACGTCAAATTCGCTGAACCGATCAGGCTCAAATTTGTGTCTAAAAGTTTTTGATTTTTGTAAAATTTTGAAAATACGCGAAAAAATAGTTTTAAATCCACGTTTTTTTTTGTTTGTTATTTTTTATATCGTACAAAGAGAGAGCCACAATTAAAAGTAGAAATCAAAGATGGGTGCTCGAGAACCCAGCCTTGCCTGGATTTTTCAACCGAAACTATAGATACATTTTCTAGTTATTACGACTTATCCAATCAAAATTAAGGCTAATTAGTTGCACGTTAACGGATTCATGAGTTATAATCGTACATACAAACAAACAAAGAGACAAACAGACTACTTTATATACATAGATTCTAATGTGGGAACCCAGCTTTATCTGGAGATTTGTTTCCCTTAAAAAGCCTAAATACTCAAATTAGAACTTTTAGAAAAAAACATGTCCGTGGTTCTACCGAGTTCCCGAAACAAAATTTGAGGCAAATCGGTTAAAGAATTCCTGAGTTGTACTTCAATAATAAGCAGGGGTGGTTTGGTGTTTTATAGAATGTAAAATAACTCCGGGAATGGAACTATTTGAACAACAATATTTCACTGAGCAATATGTCATATTGACGAGAACTGAAAAAGGACATGAGAAGGACTAAATTTCTCTCTACAGAACTCATGTACACCACAAGTACTCAATGACATAAGAACAGCCAATGTTCACAACCGACCTAATCTATAAAATAGGAATATCTTTAAAACAACGCTGTACATTTATATCTTTCAAGATGAAAAATGTCGTCTTATGCGCAATCTATCTTTATCTATGGCCATATCTTTGAAGGTTTTCATGGGCCTTTTGGTTATCAATGTAAACCTTCGAAAAAGTCAAATAAAACAAAAAACGTTTAAAATGAAATTAAGTTTAATTGAAAAAAGTCATTTGAGTACACTAACAATATGGTTTATTATAATGAAACATTTAAATAATTAAAAAGAACAAAATTAATAAAACAAGTGGTTCTACATATTTAATTAAGTTCAATGAGGACCAGTTATTTGCTTGAAAAGTTATTGACTTTTAAAAAGTTTGCGAAACTTCTGCAAAAATTTACAAGATTTATCAATCTTTGAAACTGTGAAAAAAGTAGGTGAAAAGGTATAGTTAATGGTATTTAATGGCTAATTGCTAAATCGTTTATCCCAAATTTGTTTGATATGGAACATAAATAAATATATTAATAAAACCGGGGTTTTAAGTTGCATCGCGTCCATCCTCTATTTTAATTATTAATTGATGCTCTATCTGTGAGTATTTTCTCTTCGTATATTATAAAAAATAACAAACAAATCTTGCATATTTTTTGCTGTGGATTTCCAAAATAAACAAGCCATGTTCTTACACTATAAGAACGTTTACCGCAAAATAAGTGATTTCTTAATTTAGAGTGTGCAGACCAGGGATTAAAGAATAGAAGGGAGATATAACTGACGCGGTTCGCCCTACCATATGATTATACATGCTTTGCAGACGGGTACTTTATTTGAATAAGAAATATTTGTCTGATGTACATTTACTGCGTATACAATAGCCTATTCTGAATATTTCTTATACAAATGGAGTACCCGTCTGCAAAGCATGTATAATCATATGGTAGGGCGATCCACGTCAGTTATATCTCCCTTCTATTTCATACTCCCTGGTGCAGACTCGCAGAGCAAGAATTGTGTAAAACTAAAAGAGACCTATCACACAGAGAATTAAGTTCTTGTTGAGTTTTAGCTCTCCGAAGTTTTGCTAATCTAGTATCAGGAAGTTTGGCCAATGTAGAATAAGTTACCTAAAAAAAGTTACAGTACATTATAAGGTTTGCATTTTCTTAAACACACATCGTCATTCCCCCCCCCCCCCCAATATTTTTTTTTGGCAATCCTTTTTTGAACATGATTTTATTTTTATAAAAAGAAATACTTTAAGCTTAACCTTTATCTGAATACCTAGTAAAAAATATACTTTTCAATTATCAATTTCTTATTATTTATTAATAGTGAAGTGGTTTACTGTGGTTTTGGTCGATTTACAAACCCTAATCTGTTCCCTGGGTTCACCATCAATATCCTGTTTAATTATAATTAATTTAACAAAATATAATTTGATAGAAATAAAAAAAAAACTATTAATCAAATCAAGGATAAACAGAGAAAAACAAATATTCATGATTTTCCAGTTTTCTAAATTAAGACTATATCATATTTGAATATGAAATGATGCCCGAGTAAAGTGGACCTTCATAATTATTTTTAGCTTTTTAAATTTTCATTTCAAATACAAACCGTTTACGACATGATAACATTAACGGTTTCCGTATTTTAATTTCTTTTATATTAAAAACACAAACTATGCATCTACAGGGTTAAATGTAAGGCTGAGATATTAAATATTGATATTAAACAATAATAAAAACCATATTTCTAATGACGTTTCCTCTGCCAAAAAAATATCCTGTGAGTTCCTTTAAGATACGTATTCATGGCATGTACTTTTTTGAAAAGCCCTTGGGCTCCACAGAAATTTCTTTGCAAATTTGAGTTTGCGAAAACAAAGAACTATGACAAATCAAACAATTTTGAAAAGCCCTTGACCAATTAACCCAATTTAAACAAGGGCGGGGGTCAATTTGATATAATTTGCAATAACTCAAAAAGTATTTGAGCTCGGAAGCTCAAATTTTCTGACTTTTCTAAGTAACACATGCCCATCACTTTAGGCTTAAATTCCTCAGGCATACTGCCTAAATGCATTATACCAGACTAAATCGATATTTAGACCTACTTCCAGTCACTAGATTTCAACATTTTTAGCTCTTTGGAAAGCCTATAACTAAAGCAACCAGAATGCACAATTTTTCAAAGAAATCTTGCACAGATTTTTAAACAGACGCCTCTGAAGAGAATTTGCACATTTTCAGTTTTTCTTGAATACACATTTTGGTTTTTAAAAATTGTGAACATGTTTTAGAAGATTTTAATTCGCTGGTCTTTTTAAAAATGTATAATTTGTTGCAATTTGTGCAATTATTTTTTTGCACCGTTTTGCTTAATAACTAGATTTCTCAATAAATATTTGGATTTTTGCAAATTTGCCATTTTTGGGCAGATTTTCAAGTAGAGCCGAAGGGCTTTACAAAAACGTATCAAATATAATAGATTTGTATCAAGCAAATTCAAATATTCAAAAATAATTTCAAAATTTTCAAAATGTAAGTGTGTATACAGAAAACAGCGCATACTCGCTTTAAAAGAGTCTGTGCAAAAAAATCTAAAATTTATTTGTAAAACTTCCACAGTTTTCTTCCAAAATCTAAAAAAATGAATTGAAGATGGTCTCAATAAAGATTTAGGCTGGTGAAGGTAAAACAAGGCAAGTTGTATTTTTCCAATTGAAAGAATATTGACCATTTATACAGTTGATAGACATATTGTTTTACAATGTATAAAAGCTACAATTTGTGTTAATGTGAATAATTTATTATCAACCATAAAACCTTGTCATATACAAAGACAATACTTTTAATAGCATACTTACAGAGAAGTACAAAAGTNATTTCCTCATATAGATAAAGTTTAAATACCTGCATATTGAAATAAATTTCTTAAATTCTTAAAAACAGTTTTGAACTTTAATCCCATTTATTTTATGAATTAAAGTGAATATTTTTTATCATTTTTTTGTCGTTTATTGAAAAATAAATACCTCATGTCGTTGTCCCCCCACATTAATAATTGCAGTTTCAGCTTTACTTTTAGCCAAGGACCTAACTCTGTCAAAGTAATCCTCTCCGCAAAGATCCTAAATCAAGAAATAAAATATTTTTTTAATTAAAAAATGGCTTTTGAAAATCCACAAAATTTCTTTAGAAGACGACCTTCTGTTTCATAAAAGTTCAGCTATGTAATAGGTCATTCTTGCTTTACACTCAGAAGTGAAAATAAGTTGATTTTGATAGGTATTTTAATTTTTGACTAACATCTGTTGAAAATAAGTATGCAGATTTTAAAGTGTCATTAAAGAATTAACAAACAATTCCAAAAAAATAAAAAAGGTAAAAAAATAAGTCAATTTAATTAATTTGAAGATTACCAGAATAAGATTGATCCAGGGATCATGTTTATCTGAATTAATATTCAAAAAGGTTTTCCAGGCTGGAATATTCTCTGAGGTTTCATTCAGCTTCTCTTTATGTAAACTAAAATAATTAGATTAAACCAGGGAGTAAGGAATAGAAGGGAAATGTAACTGACGCGGTTCGCCCTACCATATGATTATACATGCTTTGCAGACGGGTACTCTATTTGTATATGAAATATTTAGAATAGGTTATTGTTTACGCGGTAATTGTATAATCATATGGTAGGGCAAACCGCGTCAGTTATATCTCCCTTCTATCCTCAATCCCTGGATTAAACTCAACGAGGTTATAGTGTATAGAGTGATGACGTACGCTAATCCTTTACTAATTGTATAGGCCATGAACTATATCAAGAGCGTACTGCATGTTTGTTTATTATATCTGACCTAACCTATAGTATATCAGTATTAGTAAACAGTTGCAAGTGTACAGTACAGCTAACTGAGCACACAGGTAGGAAATTATCATACACCCGAAATTTCAATTGTCACCAGGGGGATGATAGTTAACTACCTGGGCCGCTGTCTAGCCTGAGTGTACACCTAGGACAGTTTACTGATCAGGGATATTAAGAGATTATACTATAACCTCGTTGGTTGTTACACAGTGATTCAAAAATTGAATCGATGAGAATTTTGCCAAAATTACTTTTGAATTGTATATCAATGTTTTTATTTCTTAAAACTGTTGATTTTTATTTGCGGTTTCTCTTCAAAATTGACTTGCGTATTTAACATTTTTAACAAGCAATGGAGTAACTCATAGAAATTAACACTTTTATTGTCACATTAAAGCTTCAAGGGTACCGTTGTAAATCGGCCATGTTTGCATGGAGGGTCAATTGAAATCACCCTTACAGTCCCCTTTAATAAGCTGACCTGAAGCTATTCTTCTTGTAAATTGGAGGTTTGAGCTGGTTATTGTTTATTTTCTTCACGTGGTGATGATGCCGACTGTTTATAGAACTAACTGATACTGTAGAGGGACTAACACTTCTCAAGCTAGCGTTAAAATTCTCAGCAGTTTCCTAATATCAGGCGCATAGGTCGGCGTTTATATCAATACAACACTGACAACTTTATATTTCAATTTTGATAACTTGCAAGCTTGTATACGGCAGAGGTGCATAAATATGTAAACAAAGAGAAGCGGGAAACTATTCTTTGACGCAAAAAAAATCTAGTTAGAAATCAAAGTTTAAATATAAAATCCTCATCTCTGTAGTGATTGTAAAAATTGTTTGTTTGTTTTTTGGTGCGAAAATTATAATAATCTTTTTCTACATCTTTTTAATCATTATTAAAAATTAAAATAAAAACAGATTGTACCCCTTTTTTATGAAAGAAAATTATTTTTTCGAGAGATTTATACAGATTGTATTCTATTAGAATGTTATTCAGTGGCCGAATTTAAAGAATTTGAGCGGCGGTTTAAATTTAAGCCGCGGTTTAAATATGGTTGGTTCCTCTTAAAATTGCATCAAATGTTTCAAGATTTAAACCGGCGCTTAATTTAAACCGGGTTTTGGCGGATTTAAACCGCGGCTCAAATTCTTTAAATTCCATCTCTGATCGTTTGTATGATGGGATCATACAAAAACAAACGAAGACAAAATTCATCTCAAAATCAAATGTGTGTTTTCAAAGAAATTCAAATCATGGTTTATACCTGTAAAAGTCGGTTGTTTTCTTTCAAAAGCATAAACAATTCAAGGGATTTTTTATCCACGCTTAGTTTTCGGAATTCATCCGTTCTCATCAATTTCTCCCTCATATTGATTCTTTTTTCACAGATTTACATACTATGGTTCATTTTCATCTTATTTTGAATTTATAAATTTTATTTTTTCTTCTGAAATTTGAACTTACAGTCGATTTTGATAAGGAAGACGACATTCAAGTTAGTGTTACACTGCAAATAGTTTTATCAGTAACTCATATAATTAATTTCAAACCTTATTCCTGCTAGGAAAAATTAGAATATAAGAAAGTTAGGATTTTTTTTAACCCTATTCCTGCTGGGGGGGGGGAACAATTTGACCCCCCCTATAGTTTTTTTTTACATAACTCAAAAAGTATTGGTCTGNGGATAAGATTGTATCAGAATTAAGTTGATATTATAGTATCAGGTTGGGATAATATTGTATCAGAATTAAGTTAAGATTATATTGAGATAGGATAAGAAGGTTGTATCAGAATTAAGTTGAGATTATATTAGGATAGAATAAGATTGTATCAGAATTAAGTTGATATTATATTAGGATAGGATAAGATTGTATCAGAATTAAGTTGAGATTATTTTAGGATAGAATAAGATTGTATAAGAATTAAGTTGATATTATATTAGGATAGGATAAGATTTATCAGAATTAAGTTGAGATTATATTAGGAAAGAATAAGATTGTATCAGAATTAAGTTGATATTATATTATTAGGTTGGGATAAGATTGTATCAGAATTAAGTTAAGATTATATTGAGATAGGATTAGAAGGTTGTATCAGAATTAAGTTGATATTATATTAGGATAGGATAAGGTTGTATCAGAATCAAGTTGATATTATATTAGGTTAGGCTAAGATTGTATCAGAATTAAGTTGATATTATATTATGATAAGATAAGGTTGTATCAGAATTAAGTTGAGATTATATTAGGTTAGGATAAGATTGTATCAGAATCAAGTTGATATTATATTAGGATAGGATAAGATTGTATTAGAGTCAAGATGAGACAACCCCAGATGAAGGATCAGAGATAAATTAGCTTGCGGAAAGTTCTCCCCCTCCTCTCCCCTCCCTAAAAAATTATTTATGAGTTTAAATATGAAGATGCAATAAATATGCATAAGCAAGCTTTTTAATGTGAATTTTCAATAACTTGGCGAAAACCTTCATCTTAAAATCGCGACTAACGATTATTTAATAATTTTTTAAATAATTTTCAAATATTGTCGCTTGTTGCTCATATGCTTATTTGGTACTTTAAGATCTTTCTGTAAAACAAACAAATTGTTAGATCACTCTTTCCTTAATCATAGTTTTAGTTTAATAGTTTTAAAAAGTGGGGATTTATTGTTCAATGTTAAAAATGCTTCTTAAACTAAAATAAAGAATTGGGACTTCAAAAAAAGATTAATAATCAGATTTAGAATAGGATTGAATTCTGTTTAAGGTTGACTGTCTAATCAACTACTGCGGACTAAATAGAACGAAATTGTTCACAAATAAATAAATAATTCATAATTCTAAACCAACCCAATGCATTCTTCTGTCCTTAGCCTCGTTTATAGCCGTTTACAGTCACTCACATGTCCAGAAACGTGGAAATTGATCATGTTATGCAGCACAAACAAGGAAGGAAGTTATAAAACGAAAATACCTTCCACATGATTACGCAGATAAAATGTTAAAGGGTAACATGGGGAATGGGACATCCTCTTTAACCCTGTTCAGGCTAGAGGGTCTAATATATTTATATCCTGGGAGCGTCCCATGTCCTACGTGGCTCCTTAGAAAAAGGCCTGAGAGTAAAATATATAGGATTGCAAAGCATGTACAGTTAAACCCTGAATGAGCCATACATCGAAAGAATTTGTCCAATTTCGTCTTGACAATTTTTAATGGATTTTTACATTTACGTAAATCTCAGTATTTGCGAAAATGAATAAATAGCCATGAATATGCAGGAACAGTTTAAAAGTGCTCCATATAATCATTTTATTAAAAAAAACTAAATATCTGCTACTTTCTTTTATCAGAAAAACATTTGATGAATTCTTTCGATGTATGGCTTATTTAGGGTTTAACTATACATAGTCCAATCTTTAAAGGCCAGCTCATTGAAGAGAAAAAATATGCCACTAACTTCATTTAAAAGTCAATGTCAATAACAAGTTCGGAATTTTTTTTTTTTAAATAATTTCAGTAATATATTATGACGTACTTACATCGATTTTTCAAGGGCTTTCAAATATTTAGTTTTAAATATACAGTTTAAATATATATAGTTTAAACATAATAGTTCCAAAAAAGATATTGAAAATTTTAAGTTGATAGTGTCAAATTAAAATAAGAGTGCTAAAAGGTACAAAATCGTGTTTCTTTTTTGGCAGCAAACTGTACATTTACAAGTCTATCATCACATATTTCATATTCGTACTACGTACACTAATATTTGATTTGACATTAACCAATTAATTAATGAATAATTTATGCTTGCAGTTACATGTACACCACATTATAAAAACACATGACAAAATATTAAAGAAAAAATAGTTTTTACAATAAAGTTTTACATTATTTGTTTTGATAAACATTAAACTTATCTTTTTCAATTAAAACTGATTATTTTCATAAATCGCTGAAAATCGTTTTATGAGGAAAGGTTTTCGATTTTGGCTTGCCATTAACCTTCCCTGGGATTATGTAAGTTCAGTTGTTTTGACGTTTTCTTGGGATGAAATTAAACTAACAAACGGAAAAGCAAATATTTAATTGATTTTTTATAAATTTAATTGATTTTTTATAAATTTAATTAATTTTTTTGAGAAATGTACACCACAGTTTTTCGGCAACTGTTTTTTAACTTTAATAATTTATTTTAATTAAATTTTACAATATATTTAAATTTTAATATGATATAAGATGGAAACATTTTGAGACTTCTATATTTCTTGTTTTTCATTCTTTCTTCTTGATCTTCCATTCCTTGTCCATCCTTCAATCATACTTGGGCTAATTTTGAAAATAAAAATAAATTAATTTTTTGGATGTTTTCCGCAGCTAGCCAAATTGCAGAGGCAGAACTATTTTTTGGAGCCCCGTATCTATATTCTATATATTGAGAGTGGCAAGGTTACTCTCCCCCTTGTTTGTTTTTAATTTTGCTTCAGTCATGATACTGTGTCAGCTCCTGTATTCCTAGCTAACACACTTTCAATAAAATTTTCTTGATGGAGGGGGAGAGGGGTGAGGGGGGCGTTTTACACATTTTCCAGTTTTTTATGTCGAGTAGGACATAGAGGGGGGATGGGACGTCTGCCATCCTGTGTATTTGTCTTTAATCACTATCGGTGAAAAAAAAAAGATAGTGCAAAGGTCAAATCCCCTTCTCATTTTTCCTGTTTATAGTTTTCTTCTTCTTTCTAGTTTATCTTCTTATCTTCCACTTTTTTCTGTTCAATATATTTTTTCTTCTTGCTTCTTGTTTCTTGTTTTTACACTTTAAGGCCTTTCCAAATAGTTCTTTTAACATCGAGTTGTGGAGCAGGTAGGAGAGAGATAAAGAGGTTTGTAGGAAGAAGGGTATAGGGGATTTCTCTCTGTGTTCCTTCATTTTATACTGTTTCCCACATAGGGGAATTAAGGAATTTACCCATAACTGCACCCCATATGCAAAATGGGGAGTTGTGACCCCTGAAAGCTCTCTTGAGAGGTATCTTCCATGGCAGTCCAGTCCTCACATCTGGTCGAGTAAAAAACCGGTATCGTTGTGCATGGCTTGTATTCCCACGAGGGGTTAAACTCCTCTTTCAGTTCACCAAGCTGAAATCGTTGTAAATCGGTAACTGTATATCGTTGTAAATTAAATGTTTCAAAAAATATTTCTTGAAATTACTGTTTCTTTAATTATATATAAAATAATAGCAAAAACATGACAGTTAGTAAATAATTTTGAATGGCTTATTCTTACACAAATATATTTTATAAAGATTTATAATATATTGTTTTACTAAAGGAAATTTATGCAAAATAATGCAAACATAGGCGAAATTGATCATTATTTATCACTCATTACATGACATATTTATCATTTCAGTTATTACGTTATCATCGAGTCCTTCAACATATAAATTATTCATTCTTGTATTTAATAGTTCTTGTAAAACCGGAACTTTCTGTGCATGATCATAATAGATAAAATAAAATATTTCATTTGTTTCGATTAACTAACATTTTACTAAGATCAGATAGATTTACAAAACAATCATTCGCAATGGAAATCAAAATTAGATAAAACAAACTTAATAAAAAGAACTGTGATAAAATCATTTTTACATCAATGGGAAAGAAATCTATCATGCAAAGCTTAGAACTTGCTTCAGTTGTATCACAGAAAGATACACATTACTGGCTAACATATTGTATAACATCCTATTTTACTTTAAACTTAATTTACTATGTTATGAATGCCGTGTGATATTTTTTTATGTTTCATTTTGGTTTCAAAGAACTCTGCAAATCATGAAAGAATTAATTTAAAACTATTCACAAATGATCATGTTTTTTGGGACAACCTGTAAAATGTAAATTATGGAATAATCCGTTTTTACTTTTTGAAAAACGATCGTTTCGTTTTGATAACCCTAGACAGGCTGGGGAGGGGGGGTCGTTTGACAACCCCCCCCTCCCCCTAGTTTTTCTGTCCCAGCATTCTCATGTTTGACACAATAACCGTGAAATTTTGTGACTTTTAATAAAAAGTTTTGTTTTTGAAAAAGATCGTTTTTTTAGATTAAAAACGAAAAAGTCGTTTGTCAAAAATACGATTGTATCCATAGATAAAGATAGATTGCGCATAACACGACATTTTTCATTTTGGAAGATATAAATGTAAGAGATGTTTTAAAGATATTCCTATTATATAGATTAACTAGGTTGGTTGTGAACATTGGATGTTCTTATGTCATTGAGTACTTGTGGTGTACATGAGTTCTGTAGAGAGAAATTTATGTTAGTTTAGTCCTTCTCAGTTCTCGTCAATTTCATTGCTCAATAAAATATTGTTGTTCAAATAGTTCCATTCCCGGTGTTATTTTACACTCTATTATGAAATCCATTAAAACACCAAACCACCCCGCTTATCATTGAAGTACACTTGGACCCCTAGAAGTATGAGTTCGCGGACTGTACAATTCTTGGTGATTTTGCGTACATAAGCTATCTATGTTTATTTATTTATCTATGATTGTATCATTGTTTTGTTTTTCGTTTTTAAAAGTTTAAAACGAATGATATCATTTGTTGTCGTTTTTTCGATCGTTTTTGATGTAAAAAAAACTACAGGGGGGGGGTCAAATTGACCCCCCCCCCCAGCAGGAAGGGTTAACAACACTACCTGTATATTTACAACCCTACCTTTATATTTACAACCCTACCTGTATATTTAAAACCCTATCTGTATATTTACAAGCTTACTTGTATATTTACAACCCTACCTGTACATTTACAACCCTGCCTGTATATTTACAACCCTACCTGTATATTTGCAACCCTACCTGTGTATTTACAACCCTACCTGTATATTAACAACCCTACCCGTTTATTTACAACCCTACCTACATATTTACAACCCTACCTGTATATTTACAACCCTACCTGTATATGTACAACCCTACCTGTATATTCACAACCCTACCCGTATATTTACAACCCTACCTGTATATTTACAACCCTACCTGCATATTTACAACCCAACCTGTATATTTTCAACCCTACCTGAAAACCCATACCTGTATATTTTCAACCCTACCTGTATATTTACAACCCTACCTGTATATTTACAACCCTACCTGTATATTTACAACCCTGCATGTATATTTACAACCCTATCTGTATATTTACAGCCCTACCTCCATATTTACAACCCTACCTGAATATTTACAACCCTACCTGTAAACCCATACCTGTATATTTACAACCCTACCTGTATATTTACAACCCTACCTGTATATTTGCAACCCTACCTGTATATTTACAACCCTGCATGTATATTTACAACCCTACCTGTATATTTCCTACCTGTATATTTACAACCCTACCTGAATATTAACAACCTACATGTATATTTACAACCCTACATGTATATTGAGGATGTTGTACACTGTGCACAGCTGCAGGTTGTCGATGATGGAGCCGATTTATGAGTGTATTATTATTGAATAATGAGCAAAATGTGGAAATCACATAATTACACCCACTATCCAGAAATTAATGATTAATAGAACCTTTAGAGATAAAAAATTGTATATTCATTTAGATGAGCATTTTTACATCAACACTTAAGAGTTAAGACTGCAGACAAACAAACAAGGTACATGTTTCAACCATGGGCGCAACTAATATTTTCTGAGAAAGGGGGGTCCCTAGGTCCCTGTTTGCCAGTAAAGGGTTTATAAGCAGTACACACCCCTGTTCTCTTATAGCCTGAAACAGCATTATTATTCCTTGATACGCTTCCCTTTTAACAGTTTCTTAGGTTGTAAGTTTGTTATAACCTTACATGTGTGTAATGTAATACCCATCAGAAGTAACATACTCTGCTCGGCAATTATATCAATACTATGAAGACGACCTTTTTATTTAAGTTTTGATTGTTAAGCTTTTTTCGAATTACAAGTTATGAGTTATACGTTTAAACTTTTTTATTATATTTTTAAATACTATCAAGTTTTATTTTAAAAAGCCCCCCCCCTCCCTCTCATCCCTCCGTTTTTTTGAAGGTGCCATAAATAGAAAATTGAAAATAATTTTACACAACAACGAGAATAAATGTCGTCTTACGAATATTTCTTGTTTTAAGCATGAAGACTTTAATTTCAATATTATCATAGTAAATTCATGTTTTTTTTGCTAAAATAATATTTATGAAAAAGAGTTTTCCCATGGTTTTAAAGAAATATTGGCAAATATTTAAATCATAAACTCTCTTTATCCTATCCAATATCCTACCGTTCATATTCAACACTCAAAAAAATAACAGCTTTAAAAATTGTCTTTTTGAATTTCTTACATTTCTACTTTTCATTCATGGTAAAAATCTAAATAATGCAACCTTGGAGCATACAATGATTTTAGTGTTTTTTATTAGATGCAAATCTAAGCGAAATTTTATAAACTCCCGGTAACTATTTTGAAAATAAAAGCATGTCAGAGTCTGCACGCACATTTGATACTAGCTTGGTAACCCAGCATTGCACAGGTTACTCATAGTAACTACCTCCGTTTACCAGATTTTTACCGGGAAACTAATTTTTCGCAATAAAAATCGGCTCACTGAACGTAGAACAAAATATCAATGCTAACAACATTCCCGTCCGTCTCCCGAGTTCCCCAATCAAAATTTGAGCAAATCGGTCCAGGGGTTCCTGAGTTATGATCTGACAACGAAAAATCGGTCCAGGGGTTCCTGACAACGAAAATGTGTGAAAATTCCCAACCCTTTATATTGTGAACAAAAAAAGTTGTCTAAAAAAAAAAGGAAAGAACCTGTAAAATCTTTCCCTGGGATATTTAGAAAGATACTTGAACGACGTTTTGGTGAGGTATATTGGCGGACTAAGCCTAGGGGTGTCAGAAATGATTATTTTTGCATATTTTTAAAAACTTCTATAAAACTTATAAAGTTAAATTCTTTATAGAACTTTTTGATCTTGATGATTGCATATATCTATTTAAAACTTACTTAAACCGGCATATTTTTTCAATATTCATTTAGTTAAGATTTTGAGTCAAAATAAGTATAGATAAATATTGCTTTATATCGAGTAGATATCCTTAAACATACAGATAATGTCATTGATTTATCCCATCATATACTTTATAGTTTTATATAGAGATCAATACTTCCTACAATACACTTGTTGAATTGCAGTATTATCTAACCCACCTAATGATGTACAAGTTCTTGTTTCTCCTCCTCGTTTTATGTACAGGGGGGAAAGCAGTACATTTGTACACAGAGAAAACATTTATTCACCAATACTATGGGGTAAATGTAATCTTACATAATTCAAAGGAACAATGACATTTTGTCAAATAAAAACTTATTTCACAAAAAAAAATCAAAAATAATGTAAACAATAAATAAGTAACTCTCCTTTTTCTTTTGATTTCTATCTTTTAAATTTTTTTAGAATTGGGGGGAAATAATCCCACAACCTATATTTTGGGAAGTTTTTAAATATTTTCTCCTGAAAAACTTAATTTTGTGTGTTTTTGTTATATTTCATAAACAAACAATTACTCCCATGCATCAAAATCATTACGATAATATCTTCAAGGGACTGTACAAGTAATTTCAAGTGACCTTCCATACAAAGTAGTCAATGCCTGATTTACAATTTTACTCTTTAAACCAATGACTGTTCATAGAGTAGAGAGCTCTGCGTGTAAACCTCTTGAATAGCGGTTAAATCTAGGGTTTCATACTACCATTTTTTATCAATCAGCTGGCCTTGAATATTTGGGCTATGAACATGCATTTCAACCCTATACCTATTCTCTAAGACCATTTCTAGGGGGGGGGGGCGTTAGAAAGATTCATATCCCTAGCCTCTATATGGTTAAATGACCCCGAAAAAATAATTGATACATAAATTGTCGTCTTTCAACTTGAAAATTTTCATTTCATTGCTTTTTGTATTCCAGTTGAATTTCCGGCAAAAGAGGGAAATCGTCGCAAAAGTTAGTAATTTTTAAAGAGATTTTTGTGTATTTTTTCACGAAATTCGGCTTTATATCTCATAATTCATCATCGCAAAAAACGAAATTTTGCAAAAATATTAGTGTAGTTCGACTGTAAATGATTATTATGTTTAGGTATCTGTCGCTTTGTTAGATGAGAGAAAAGAAGATCCGAAACTTAAGGAAGACGACCTCTGCTTTTCTTCAAAATTTCAGGTACTTTTTAAATCCTAAGGAAGACAACCTTTGATTTTCTTCAAAATCTCAGGTACTGTCTGAATCCTAAATTACATAGTAAAACATGATCCTAAATAAAAAAAAATATTTGTAATGTGAATATTTTAAAATTTTGTTTCGTAAAGCTTTCTTGAAATTAATAACTGTTGGTGCAGAGGAAAAATTGGAAACTAATTAATTTTAAATTAGTCGAAAACGCAAATTCTTATCAATATATTACGAAGCTAACATGTCTAATTTACTACAGTACCCTGTATGTGAATGAATAATATAAGCTCTTATTTCTAGCTAAATAATTAATACTTTTACTTGACGATTATCTCCTGAAATATTTGTGGATTTGCGCTACAGAGCTACAGAGATAGAATAACGATGATAACTTCCTCATGGATAAACTTGTCTCTGTAGTCCCTGTAGTCCAAGTAGTCCCTGTAGTCCCTGTAGTCCCTGTTGTCCCTGTAGTCCCTGTAGTCCCTGTAGCCTCTGTAGTCCCTGTAGTCCATGTAGTCCCTTTAGTCCTTGTAGTCCCTGTAGTCCCTGTAGTCCCTGTAGTCCCTGTATATCAATGTTGTAAAATGTAGGTTCTTGAAACTCCTGGCTGTATCTCATCCATGTTCCTGGAAAACTTGACAACACATCACACGATATTCAACTCTTCAAAAAAGTAATATAATTCTTTTATTTTAATTGAAAGAAGATTTTATGTAAAAAAAAAAAAAAACAGGAAAAGGGAACATTTCTTTGTCGACATCAGTGGATAAATATAGCAAATGACATGATTTTATCTAACCCTTTCCCGACTGGGCTATTTTTTGTCAAATACAGATGGGAGGGTCCCCCCCCCCCGTTTGATTTTGCAATTAGAGTTGAGATAGGGGAGTTTGTTTAGTAAAATAAAACTATGTTTTTTTTTTAAGTTGGTTCAAACGATTTTAAATGCAGTTTGTTTTTGTTATTTTTCAATGCCCATCTCTACTTGTATAGTAGATATCGATCTCTACTTGTATAGTAGATGCCCATCTCTACTTGTATAATAGATGCCCATCTCTACTTGTATAGTAGATGCCCATCTCTACTTGAATAGAGGATGCCCATCTCTACTTGAATAGTAGATGTCCATCTACTTGTATAGTAGATGCCCATCTATACTTGAATAGTAGATGCCCATCTACTTGTATAGTTGCCGCCCATCTCTACTTGTAAAGTAGATGTCCATCTCTACTTGTGTAGTAGATGCCCATCTACTTGTAAAGTAGATGCCCATCTCTACTTGTAAAGTAGATGCCCATCTCTACATGATTAGTAGATGCCCATCTCTACTTGAATAGTAGATGCCCATCTCTACTTGAATAGTAGATGCCAATCTCTACTTGAATAATAGATGCCCATCTCTACTTGTATAGTAGATGCCCATCTCTACTTGTATAATAGATGTCCATCTCTACTTGTGTAGTAGATGCCCATCTACTTGTATAGTAGATGCCCATCTACTTGTATAGTAGATGCCCATCTCTACTTGTATAGTAGATGCCCATCTCTACTTGCATAGTAGATGCCCATCTACTTGTATAGTAGATGCCCATCTACTTGTAAAGTAGATGCCCATCTCTAATTGTATAGTAGATGCCCATCTCTACTTGTATGGTAGATGTCCATCTCTACTTGAATAGTAGATGCCCATCATTACTTGTATAATAGATGTCCATCTCTACTTGTGTAGTAGATGCCCATCTACTTATATAGTAGATGCCCATCTACTTGTATAGTAGATGCCCATCTCTACTTGTATAGTAGATGCCCATCTCTACTTGTATAGTAGATGCCCATCTACTTGTAAAGTAGATGCCCATCTCTAATTGTATAATTAATCCATTTGTGCCCGATAATAATCGATATTTGTTTCGGTAAGAAAAGGTATTAGATTTTTAAACAAAATAATTTAAATGTTTTCGGTTCGTTTTTTATTAAAAACAAAGCTGAGATTTTACAAAAATACATAATTTAAAAAGTTAAAATTAGTTTGAAATTTAATATGAACGCTGTTCTCAGAACATTCTATAGTATTTATATTCTGAGACGCTGCTATAGTATATATATAGTTGAAAAGCTAGTTATAAACTTTTCTCTCCATTTCTATTTTTATATCGCCGCCCTTATGTTAATAAAATTCAGTCGAATTTTTAATTATTTAGATTTATTACAGGGATTTCGACTTTTTTTCAAACTTCTGCAAAATAAAGTTTTCAAATGTTGTCGTTCATATTGTCGTGAAACCTTCCAAAAGTTTTTGTGCAAAGAATCTGGCTATTTTCCATCCCCAACCCTAACCCAACATGGTACATTATGCATTTATTAATATAATTTCTAAGCATTTTTATTTTTTCTCTTATATAAGTTTGAAAAGTAGAATACAAATTATTAGTTGTTCACAGTAAACATAAACTGAGAGGTTTTGGAAAGTGTGGTAACAGATCACCCAATCCCGTTTCACCCAATTTTAGGTCAAATAACGTTTCACCAAATAACGTTTCACCCAATAACGTTTCACCCAATTCACGTTTCATCCAATACTACGTTTAACCCAAATTTCTATTCACCCAACTCACGTTTCGCCTAAATTTCACCTACTTAAGAGTTTCACCCAATTTTTTTTATTCCTCTAACATACATTGCACATGAATTTATTGCCCAATTTAACTCCTGGACCGTTTTGCCTCAAATTTTGATTGGATAAATCAGGAGAATCATTGGAATCATCTTAAATTGGTTTAAAAATTCTAATCTGAGTAGGTCGACTCATTTAAACAAACAAAGCTTGGTTCCCGAGCTAGTCAAATATATTAATGCATATTGATGTTGTAAATCCGCAACTTTTGGAATCTTCGACAAAGTTTTACACGAAATGGAAGGATCAGACGACAAAAAGCTATAAATATATTCCCTTCTAAAATACAAAACTTTATTCTACAGCACTTTTCAAGTCATTTATAAAGAATATTAGGGCTGAAAAACGCTCATCCCGTTTTTTTGGGTCACCCTTTATTCTCGATTCAAAGGTTAATCGTAAACATACATAAATATAGCGGCCCAAACATGGCCTAAATCCAAAAAGATCACAAAGTAGAAAATTTTGTGATTGCAGTTCTTTGAAACATTTGAGACATTAGACAAGGAAGTAAATGAAAAGAATGTATATCGGAATTGCGCGCAAGTGTTTTCGTATTGCGCGGAATTGTGCGAAATTGTGACGGAATTGCTCGGAAATTACAGGGCATCAACTTGTGCTGGAAACCCTACTTTTAAGAGATAGTGAAAGGGTACACCCAAGGAGTATTAAATAGAAGGGAGATACAACTGACGCGGCCCGCCCTACCATATGATCAATGATCATACATACTTTGCAGACGGTACTCCATTTGTATAAGATAAGATAAGATAAGATAAAGTTTATTGCTAAAATAAATGTATCTGTATACAGATAGAGTTTAAAATCACAAAATTGATAATTATATTAACAGTACAAGTATAAAGCAATTAGGTGGAAAATAGCTCTTGGCTGTTTGATTATTTTTTCCACCTAATATTAGTAATAATAAAAAAATATTTCAATTAAATAGATTTAAGGAGAACGATTAGAGATCAGGGTGCGAATTTATCATATGCAAAATAGTTTATACATAAATTCGAATAACTAGAGTTTTAAGTAATTTTCATACATGTACACAACAGTTATCAAAGCATATTAAAACATATCTAATTAGTTTTACATGAATAGCAATGTTCAGAATAGGTTATTGTATACGCGGTAATTATACATTAGACAAATATTTCTTATTCAAATAAAGTGCCGTCTGCAAAGCATGTATAATCACATGGTAGGGCGAGCTGCGTCAGTTGTATCTCCCTTCTATTACATACTCCTTGCATGGGCACACCGTAAAGCGCTCTACTTAAATTAGGTACATTGTACTTTTAACATGATTTTACAAGATATATTGTTATTTAGTACGGAGAAGGATTGTGCCGATTACTGTGCAGAGAAACCGGAAGTGTTTAACCTTGTAGCTATAGCTAGGTAAATTGGTTTAAAAGGAAACCGGAAGTGTTTAACCTTGTAGCTATAGCTAGGTAAATTGGTTTGAAAGGAAACCGGAAGTGTTTAACCTTGTAGCTATAGCTAGGTAAATTGGTTTAAAATCTGGAGATCAATAAAAAGAGGAAAACAAGCATTATTTAATCTGGAGATTAAGAAAAAGAGGAGATCAAGCAATGCTTTAAACTAAAGGGTCCAGGGGCGTATGCAGATAATATATGATTTAAACTTTGCTTTCAACCTATTAACGTAATATATGATTTAAACTTTGCTTTCAACCTATTAACGTAATATATGATTTAAACCTTGCTTTCAACCTATTAACATAATATATGATTTAAACTTTGCTTTCAACCTATTAACGTAATATATGATTTAAACATTGCCTTTGCTTTACTGTAGAAGAAAGATTGCTGAATTCTGAACCAGAGGGGGGGGCTATAGGGGCTCAGTCCCCCCCCCCCTTGAATCAGTGAAATCTATTGTTGTACCCGAATCTTTAATTGAACAGTGATCAACAAGATTGGCAAAAGAAAACAATTTTCAAAATAATTATTCATCTTTATTTTTGTAATCGCTCTCTAAAACATTAGAATTCAGTAATGCATAATTGTTATCTTTAACAAAAAACTAAAAATATGTCATACTACATGGTTTCTCGGAAAAAAATACTAGAGATTTACTGTTTAATATGCAATGGAAATCCCTAATTGGATATACGGAGCTATGATTTATATATTTTGTATTTAATAAAGTTTTAAATGTTTTGATATTGTAAGAATAAAAAAATTAATCCAATATTTGTATTTCATGTTTAAGACCATAAGTAATCTATTTTTTTCCATTAAAAAAGAAATATTTTTTTTAATATCAAACATTATCGAATTTTAATTTCTATAAATATATATTAGAAATAAAAAAATAAATGCATGTCAGTGCAAATCATTATAAACTAGAAAATACAAAAGAAGAATAGAAAGCAGATGTACAGCCACAGAATCATTTCAATGTTTAAAAATTTTGTAAAAAATTCAAATTCAAAAATGAATTAGAACATATTGAAATTCTTTAAAATTTTATAAATTTTATATTTTACTTCTTTGCAACGATTTACTTTACTTTAAAAAACCTCCGAATTTTTCAGATTTCAATCCGGGGTGCATTGTCAATGCTTGGAACCGACAAAGGTAATTATAAACAGTAAAAGAATTCGGATTAAGTCTTTTTAGATTAGATAATAAGTAGTTAGCTTAAAAAATATTTTAACGTTCATCCATCTAACTTTACGACATTTGAAATATAGTTAGATACTTTTCAGACCAGTATTTCTTTATATTAACTACAAATAACACTTTTATTTTGTTTTACAGAGTTTTATAGTTAATTCCAGCTTGACTTACAGGGTGTCCCACGAAACATGACAAATAATTTGAAATGTCTTCTTCCATAATTCCTTAAGTTGTTTAATACCAAAGAGAATTATAAGAATATTTAATGGTTGTCATATTATAGTAGAATTGATTTCAAAGTAAAATTTATTTTAGTAAAAGATTTTACTGAAGGAAAAAAATACCAAAAGTCTATCTATAAATGCAAAAAGTCTTCAGTATTAGGGAAGAAGACATTCCAAATTATTTACCAACTGTCATGTTTCGTGGGACACCCTGTTATTGATTTTAAAGAAAATCCGGGAACAAAATTAAACTTAATAGCAGATTATAGCACAATGATATCTTAATAGCACTACTATATTTTTCAAATGTAGTTCTAATTATGTTATTTTGAATTAAAGATATTCATGCATTTCTGATAAAATACTAGATTACTTTAAATACGCATGTATAACGGGACTCACTGTGTTGGAACTGAGTTTTTGCCACAAACTCAATTTTTATTAATCCCTATATCTTGTCAACCCATTGTGGCAGCAGTTTGATATTTTAAACTATGAATTCTATTGGATCAACAAATCAAAGTTTGAAATGTCAATTGTTCACACCATCTTTTTCCAAAGATATAGGGATTAGAAAATTTGAGTCAATTGCAAAAACTCAATTTTTTTGAATTTTTGTTAGGTTTCTTTGGATGAAATAGGTCCTCTTGTATACTGTGAAGAAACGAATAAAGATGAATCCAGGGGTGTAAACAATGAATCAGGTTTGAACTTCATGAACTTATTTTTGTGTAAAGTTGTAATTTTTTTAACTAATTTCGAGTTTTGCTAAAATGTTGTCTCCTCATGGCATAGATAGATAAAATATTTATATGACGTCACTCTCGCCTCTATACTCAGTAATGGCATATGGTGATTTTATCTATCTATGCTTAGGAAACGACTTTTCGCGAACATTGGAGCGCATCGAGAGTAAGCAACCTTATTTAACATCTTTGATAAATAAATTTCTTTTTAGAGGTTTACTACAGTCTCTACTGCTTATCTAATACTGTACTGTCAGGGATAAACATTCACTATCTGCAGTACAGTACAGGACAATCAATTACAAGCAAGGCTAAACCAAACACCCAGCAGGTAACTTCAATAAAATGCTTCCACAGTCTCAAAGGAAACTGTCTGGCCATTAAAATTTGACGTTTATGATGCATCTAAAACAGATAGCTCTTATTAATTGTCTAACTTGATGATTAAGATATACCTCTATAATTGTTATTAAAGGTGTACTCGATGATAAAGATATACCTCTAATTGTTATTAAAGGTGTACTTGATGATGAAGACATAGCTCTATTTGTTATAAAAGATGTACTTGATGATACAGATATACGATNAAGGTGTACTTGATGATGAAGACATAGCTCTATTTGTTATAAAAGATGTACTTGATGATACAGATATACCTCTTATTGTTATTAAAGGTGTACTTGATGATGAAGATATACCTCTAATTGTTATTAAAGGTGTACTTGGTGATACAGATATACCTCTAATTGTTATTAAAGGTGTACTTGGTGATACAGATATACCTCTAATTGTTATTAAAGCTGTACTTGATGATGAAGACATAGCTCTATTTGTTATAAAAGATTTACTTGATGATACAGATATACCTTTTATTGTTATTAAAGGTGTACTTGATGATGAAGATATACCTCTAATTGTTATTAAAGGTGTACTTGGTGATACAGATATACCTCTTATTGTTATTAAAGGTGTACTTGATGATAAAGATATAGTTTTAATTGTTATAAAAGATGTACTTGACAATACAGAGATAGCTATAATTGTTATTAAAGATGTTCTTGATGATACACCAAGAACTGGAGACCTTGATTGTAGCTTCTGAAGTAATTTCTGCTTTACTAGCGGTCATCCTAATCTTTATAATTCTAGCAACAACATACAACTATTATTGGAAGAAGGTAGGTTTTCGCCATTTGGAAATAAACATAATATTAAAATAATCATAGGTTTAAGTCTCGAAACTAAATAATAGAAAAATTTTATTTTGGAAAAACTTTCATGGGAAATGTTTTGACAGTTCGTTCAATCATGTTTTTGATTCAGTTTATTTTGTTTTAATGTTCACAAAAAAGAATTTTCATAAAATTATAAAATGGAAAATATGAACATGAAAAAATAAATATATTGTGCGAACTGAACGAAAGTTTTCTTACGGACAGTTTTGGTAAGCACAAAATCTGGTGTTCATATTGATTTGATTTAAAAATGACTTTTTATTTGTCTCCGCGTTCTCAAAATTACGTTGTCCCATAATCTCCAGGAATTGAATATAGTTAGCCGGGACGAAGTAAAAACTATCTCCGGGTCCCAGCCCCAGTATGGAACCCAAGGAACTGGATCAGGTAAAACTATCTACAGGTCCCAGCCCCAGTATGGAACCCAAGGAACTGGATCAGGTAAAACTATCCACAGGTCCCAGTCCCAGTATGGAACACAAGGAACTCGATCAGGTAAAACTATCTACAGGTCCCAGCCCCAGTATGGAACCCAAGGAACCGGATCAGGTAAAACTATCTACAGGTCCCAGTCCCAGTATGGAACCCAAGGAACTGGATCAGGTATGATTATCTCCGGTTTCCAGCCCCCAGTATGGAACCCAAGGACCTGGATTAGGTAAAACTATCTACAGGTCCCAGCCCCAGTATGGAACCCAAGGACCTGGATCAGATATGAATATTTCCATGTCCCAGTCCTATTATGGAAGCCAAACAACTGGGTCAGGTAGAAAAATATCCGGGTCCAAGTCCCAGTATGGAATTTTGAATGAAACAATATAATCTTTAATGTTTTTTACTGATCTTCCTGATGTTCCTTGATGATCTTTAGTGATAGTTAATGATATATAATGAACTTTAATGACATTTAATGATCTTAATGGTCTGTAATGTTCTTTAATGGTTGTACATATTCTTCAATATTCTTTAATGATCTTTATTGATCTTTAATGATCTTCAATGACCTTTAAAGATTTTTAATAATCTTTAGCGATCTTTAATGATTTTTAATTACTTTTAATGATCTTTAAAGATCTCTCATAAATTTAAATAATTTTTAATGATCTTTAGGGTTTTTAAAAGATCTTAATGATTTTTAATGATTTTAAATGATCTTTAATGATCTTAATTGATCTTTAATGATCTTAATTGATCTTTAATGATATTTACCGATATTTAATTATCTTCAATGGCTTTTATAATCTTTAATGATTTTTAATGATCTTTAACGTACTTTTATTATCTTTAACGATCTTTATTGATCTTTATGATCTTAAGTGATATTTAATGATCTTTTAGTACCTGAAACACAATTACAGCTTGCTATCCATAACAGAGCCTTCCAACATGATTTAGAATCTCCGCAGGTTATGCAATTTGTATACAAGGTGACCCGATAAACATGGGATTAAGTGACGACTTATATACGGTCTTTGTTCTATGTTTTAGGAGTATCTCCGTTAAATAATTATATTGTAAATCATTTTGCATTATCAAATTTGAAGAAGTTATAGAAAAATCTGCCATATTCCCAAGTATTAAATTGTTCAAATGTTTGATGTCTCCGTCAATTTTAAACACATAAAGAAGACAGACCGCATTTTGAAGAGCTCAGAATACATACAATCTTATTATAATACGCATTTTGTCATTTTATTACCTATCGAAATCAAAGACGACTTTAAAGTCGTCTCTTAGTTCCCATGTTTATTGGGACACCCTGTACATTGAAACGGAAAACATCAAGACTCTAACTTTCTTCGCAATTCTTTGAATTTCATTTGCAATTCTTTGCAATTCTTTGCAATTCTTTGCAATTTTTTGCAATCCTTTGCAATTCTTTATAATTCTTTGCAACTCTTTGCACTTCTTTATAATTCTTTGCAACTCTTTGCACTTCTTTGCAAGCCTTTGCAATTCTTTGCAATTCTTTGCAACCTGAGTATTATGATGGTTTTGAGTTTTTCCCCCTTACTATTTTATAATAGTGTCTAGTCAAATAAGCAGATTTAAAATTGTGAAAATTGAAATTTATAAGTTGTTTCCAACAAACGTCAAAACGGCTGAACTGTCCGGGCCCAAATTTTGTGTGGGACCTCACATGAACCCAGGGAAGGTTTATGGATGCTTAAAATTACAAAAGTATTGTCTAACATTTTTTATTTTTGTAAAAGTTTAGAAAATGCGAGAAAAAATGTTGTTTTAAATCCGCGAACAGACAGACAGGCGATCAAAGAATACTACTTTAAAAAAATAGATATTGATATTTTTTTTATCTATTTAATACTCTCTTCGCTCATATATATTTGTTTGTATGGGACCGAAAGGCCTGAAATTTGTTGAGGGAAGTAACATAGTAGTTTACTATAAAATTGCATTTTCGTTCACATTGAAATTAAGTGAATTTTCATATTTTTAGAAATAAAGCTATTTTTTATTTTTTAGCGGAACTAAGCCTATGTTTTAAGATGTACGGTCCTGTAAGGCTGTACTGAGTAGGGATGTACACGTTTAGACTTTTTCCAACCCGTTCTTTAACAGCCAATCAAAATTCTGGTGGCCGTTCGTTCTTTAGCTAAGAACTGAATGTTCAGTTAGTGGTTAATAGTATTTTATAAACGATGTTAATGGAAGATATCGTTTATGGTGCTTGTCTGCCGTTAAAGATTATTTCACGTAAAAATAGTTATGAAAATTTGAAAATAATTAATAAAACATTGAAATACATTTTTACAATTTTAAGTCGAAAAATCAACGCCTTTATTTTGAATCATATCCATTCGTTCTTTTTTATAAACCATTAATTAACGATTTCAAAATTAACTGCTTTTGCCTTTTGTTAACAGAATCTTCCGTTAATTTTCAAATTTTCAAAAGCTTGCCGTTCATTAACGGAACTTTGCCTAGCTCTAGTACTGAGGGACAGAACCTTTATTTTTTAACAATCCCTTTAAAAAATGAAATCAGGATGAGCTAAGAGCTGGGAATTCTACCTTCTACAACCATTTAGAAAATGAAATAACAAATCCTTCACTGGAAACCATCACTAGGTAACTTCTTTAATCATTCTTAGCTATGTAAGTTGCTTTAAAACGATAAAATAAATTAATTCTTTTTCATCTAAAAACAATTGATCTTTTTTATATAAAACGATGTCTTACTTAACAAACGATCGAAACGAACGAAGTTTTATGACAATTAATTTCCATTTTTTTAGATAAGTTTTTAATGTTGTTTAAGGGTTTTCCGACCAAAAATATATTTTGTCAAGAAAAAGTCTTTTGCGATCGTTAACAGTCGTTAACTGAGGGTCGTTTTTAACGATCGTCAACGGTAAAAAAATAAAAATGACCCAGCTTCGTAAATGAAACGATGAAACGACGAAACTAAAAACGACTTCTGAGTTTTTAGTTAAAAAAAATAAAGACCGTTTCGTTGTTCGTTTTTTCTTCTTCGTTTTTAAAACGAAACTATCGTTGAAAACGATCTATCCCTGTATTCATACTTAAAGGGGATATTTGTAAATTTTAAATTGGATATGACTTAAAATTAATTTTTAAGTTTTCTAGTCTATCACGTGTAAGTAAACTAAAGGTAGAGGGAATAAGGCTAGCATACATATTACTATAAGGTTACAACATCCTAACAAAGTGGTATGAGAACGAAGACGATATTAATTCCATTTTATACTGTTGAAGTTTTACTTATTAGCCTCAGACATGTTTGTTTGTTTGTTTCCAATTAACGTCCAATTGGGCCCAAATTTTGTGTGAGACCTCACATGACTACAGGGAAGGTCTATGGACGCTAAAAATTACACAAATTTGTGTCCAAAGGTTTTTGTAAAATTTTGAAATGCGGAAAAAATATGACTAAATCCGCATACTTCCTTGTCTTTCTTTTATATTGTATGAAGAGAAGATGATGACAGATAGAGCCACAATTTGAAATAGAAGATGGATGCAAAGCAAAGCGACCAAAAAGTAAACTAAAAATACCTTTATTTTATAAATCTAGAGAAGGGAGGTCTCAATTCTACCGCCAAAAATCTCTTCAGGTCAGAATTTTCTTTTAAATAAAACGAAAACGTTTCGTAACTTTTAAAATTTCATAATCTTTAAAGAAGTTACAAAAATAGATTAAAGTTTATAAATATGTAAATGTTCCAATTACGTTTTAAGAATTCAGTAATCACAGTGTTTTTTTCCGAAAAGCCATTTAATGACAACCTACACCAGGATCTTTGTACATAAAAACATTAAGCTTAGAAAGAGCCTTACACTGCAAAGTTTTTTAAGTTTCTACAGTAAGAACCAGAAAATTGTGGAATAGGAAGACGACATTATAGTAATCCTAAAGTCTATTGATGTTGTTACAAGCAAATAGTTTTACCTGTAACTTAAAAAATCACTTATTAAATTAAATGTGTTTGTTTACACTCCGCAACTATGCTGTCGGCAGTGTCTCAAGTTCATTGAACTATATAAGTCATAACTTGAGTCTTCAAGCCGCGTTTTTGTTCCGAAGTTTTCTAATTCTCACTGTATCATATTTTGTATTCAAATTTATTTCTTGAATAAATATGGTCGTCATTTCAACCTCAAGTATTTTTATTACAGGATGAGTTGATGTCTGCAGAAAACGATGGGAACGGAAAAATTAGTCTGGATGAAGATTAAGTGCTGATGAATTAATAGGATATGTCTGGAAGAACATTCTTCATTAACCCTAAAAGGCTGGGGGGGGGGGCGTTTGACGCTCCACCCCTCGAGTTTTTTTGCCTTTTACGGAATAGCAATTTTAAGGATTTTTTTAATGCATAGGGTAGGTAGCGTTGGGGTGAAAAGCCCAGTCTGAGATAAAAAAGAGCCCAAACTTTTTTTTGACTAAAGCTACAGATCTATAAACTACATTTTTGAAAAACCGTTGTAAAATGAATATTAAAAAAATTTTCTAACCCTTTTTTGGCATTTTTTAACCCTCCCTACCTATTGTTTTAAATGAGCTTGCTTTGAAACATTGGGCTCTAAACATCCTTTTTTTACCCTATACCTTTACTCTATAGCCTTTCTCTATAGCCTTTCTCTACAGGGGGGACGTGGGACGCCCCCCCCCCCCAAAGTCTATAAATAGATTCAGACCCCATCATTATAGGGTGTTTACAACGATTCTCTTTCTCCGATTAAAATAAAATTTATGTTTTTGTTTGGATATTTTCTTCGGAGGAAAATATGTTCCTTAAAAAAATTGAAAATTAAAAAATATATTTCAAACATTAACATCAATAATTAATAAATGATTCTGATTTAATAAAATTAAAAATATGAAATCTTAGTTTACAATAAAAGTATAGAAAAGTAATTTTGATTGAGAATACATCGTTGTCAAATTTCATTAATTATGATGAAGAATTGAAACACATTTTAATTATTTACAACTACTTTACAGGGTTCCCAAGACCAATTGTGTCTACAAAACATCCAAAGCGCAGCGAGGAATGTTTTGTAGACGAAATAGGTCAAGTAATATTTTTAATTTCCCGAAAAAGTAGTTGTACACAATTTGATCGTCTTTTGAGAAGAAAATGTACATCCAAGAAAAATAAATGCAAAAGCAAAAATTGGCTTTATTTGTAGGTTATATAGCTTTATGCGTATAAAGAATGCATATAGCACATTTCAGGTCTCCCATGGTCAGCTTTATTGCTAGCATTTTTAAAATGTTTATAAAGGGATTTTTAATGAGAAGCAAAGAAAAAACTTATTTTTCCTATTTTTAGCCCGAAAAAGCCATAATTTTTACAATTAGATTTAGAACTCAATGTGAATTAATTGAATTGGTCAAGTAACAATAAACAATGCTCGATTTTTTTTGAACAACTTGATAAATCTGAAAATATTTAAGTAGTGTCATAAATTTTCTACGATAGCAATATTTTCTCTCCGAGTTTATTTGATGTTTAGAACTTCTCGAACGCATCAATAAGAGTTCTGATTTCTCCATTGATGTTCTGGATTAGTTTCTGGATCTGCCGCTTGGAGTCCAACAGCTGGATAGTCTGAAACAATATGGAGGATTTAGCATGAAGCGTCATGTGATTCCATTTTTCCTGAGGGACCTTCTTATTTTTCAGATTTATTTTACCTGTGTATAAGGATCATATCGAACTCCGAAAGGTCTTGGAATTGTTGCAGCAAAATTTCTAAATAAAGAGAAGAGCTTAAAGATATAAGGAAATTAATATACTAATCTAAAAAGATAAAGTTGTTACTGGAGAAAGGTTGCAAAGGGCCCTAAAAGCCTAATTTGTAAAAAGTAAGAAGTTTTATTTTGTTTTCTGAAAAACCTATTGACAAAAACCTATCTTTAATCTTATTGTTCAGTCTGAGACACTTCAATTATTTAATTTTCTAAATAACATCATTTTCCCACATAATGATATTTTTGTTCGGTCGATCAAGATTCTTTTCAATAAATATTGATTTTATTCATTCAGGGTTACCCACACAAGAAGACACTGTAAAGACGACCTGAAACCTATAGTTGTTAAAATAAATTCGAAATATAAGGAAGACGATTTCACCGACTCAAATGCCGATGTTAATACTCTAGATGTGTGTGTACACAGGATCCATTTCCTCCATGAAGCACACCACACATGTAACCTTCGCACCTCACCTCTCTACACCTCCCGGTATTCAGTCAGCTATAAACACTCAAGACATTCACAACTCCATCTCAACCCTGGCTCCTTCATGATGATGATGCAGATACTCAGCGCAACGCACCTGTTGATCTGCCCCACCAACATGAAGCTCTACATCACCCCCCATGACTCCTTCAGGCTGATGATGCAGATCCTGAACTAACAGCAGGCGTGCTTATACCTCTGATCTCCCTATTAACTTCTTGAGAAGCTTACTTAGGAAACTTGTGCACGGCTCTGACCGAAGTTTCCGCTATCTCGAGTTGCATTGCCTTAGTTCCATTGATAAGCCCTGTCGTCCCAGTTCCCAGATCTGCTCCACCAACTTGAAGCTCTACAACACTTCCATGAAGCGCCATCTAATATCCATCATTAATTCCTTTGTTAATTTCTAAATCAACCAATTTTAACTCAGCTTTAAATGCAAATATTTCAAAACTTTCGTTTTATTAAATAAATGTTAGAAATATCCATTTAGATCTCTTTTATTTTATTATAGTGACTTTTAAAGTCAACAATAGTATGATGATTGCAAAGTTAAATTAGGTCTTTTTTCCTACATATAATCTTGTAATGGCGTTGTAATGGTTTGCCAAAGAAAAAAAACAAGTTTGCGGGAAATAATAAATATAGGGAAACAGACGATATACATTCCGTACAGTCGTCTCTGAGGTCTTATATTTGTGGGCAACCCTGAATTGTAGTAAGAAAAGGGACTGGGTACTTTTTATAAGGAACGATATCGTGTTAGCTAAAAACAAGTTGGATATACCGTTAATGATCACAGGAACGTAGTTGGAAGTTTAGAACGTGGATATAATGCAGGGTTACCCACAAATAATGAAACTTAAGAGACGACGGTATACGAAATTCATATTTTTGCTTGCTTAGATGGTCCTACGCAACTTGTATTTTTTTGTCAAATCATTATTTTACCAATAGAAAATAATGTTTAAGGTCGAGAATCATTTTCAACATTCATACCATTATATTTAAGGAGTTTCAGGTCGTCAATAAAGTCTCATCCTGTGTGGGTAACCCTGTATAACGGTTTTTCTAAATCAGCTTATTAAAGAATTAAAGAAATAGCAAAAGTAAAACCAAAAGCCAAGTTGTTGCGACACTGCAAAGTTAAATCAGCCTTGAAAAATAATGGAACAAATCGATTCCTTAGCTTTTGATATATATATATAAAACATAAATTTACTTTAGTCAATTTATAAAAAAGATCATAAAATAAATCAATAAATATTTTACTTTAAAATTGCTTTTTGATGTGAATGTCGATACGAATAGAAGTAAAAAGGAACATTTCTAATTCTTTGAAATATAGAAATCCAATAAAATGGATAATAGTGGCATGGATATTAGTTATATCGATTACTGAGTCCAATGTCACGGAATATAATTATTTTCGTTTTGGACGATACAGATACAGATACAGATACAGATAAAGATACAGATTCAGATACAGATACAGATACAGATACAGATACAGATACAGATACAAATACAGATACAGATACAGGTACAGGTACAGGTACAGGTACAGATACAGATACAGATACAGATACAGATACAGATACAAATACAGATCAGATACAGATACAGATACAAGTAGAGAACAGATGAAAGTGCAGATACAAATTCATAATAATAATGTAATTATGCTAAACAATTGTTTTAATCATTTATAATAAATCTAAATGTATTGTATCCAGAGCTGTGATAAAATGGCAGAATCTGTGAGTATGTAATATGTAAGTAACTAAGAGATAGATGTAACAAATACAAAAAATATTCTTTTGTCACTCCCGGGTTTTATATGATAAATGGTATATCCGACAGTTTATTATTTAGTTCCGAGTCCGACGCGGGAATATTTTATAAAATCACGGGCAACGCCGGGCACTTTAGCTATCTATATCTTATAATAAACTTACATCATTTTCTGCTTGGCATCTTCGAAGCTCTCAGTGATGTAGTAAACAGGTTGGTGATCTGTTATAGGATATTTCTGCTCCCCTGTCACTGCAGGCTCGAAGGGTCTCAGATCCGGTTTTCCTGTGGAATAGAAAATGCATAAAATGTAAAAACAAAATGGCGGCTTTGAACTGTCTTTATTTAGGTATAAAAAGGTACAGGTAAATAAGTTGACCGCAACAAGGGTCAATGAACTACAGAATGTATATTTACGGGTTACAAAGATATAAATGAGATAAGTTTATTTACTATGGATATTTTGCGAGTTGTACCTGGACGATATGAATCTGAAAGCAGTTTATGGAATAGGGCATTTACCACAAATGTTCATGCATGATGAACAAACGAAATGAAAAAAACGCCGAACGCGTCCATCTCTACTCACCGGAGAGACACCATTCCAGTTCTCCATATGAAGAGAGAAGTCCAGCTCCGTATGCTTTAATTTCTCCGTCCTGTCGGCAAATCCCAAACTCAACAGTAAACCAGTAGCACTAAAACAAGCTTAAGTAACCCTCAAGTCATGCAAGATTCACAACGGTACCCTTCAAATCTGTGCTTGAGAAAAAAAGACAAAAAAAGAGGATAAGTTGCTCGCAGATTAATGTGACTGAGAGAAAATATTAAATTGACAAATGAGAGAAAAAAAGGTGATGTCTTACTCAGTGTTTGTTGCTCATATACTCATTTACAGGTACCGTTGTGAATCGGACAAACAATACTCTAATTTTGAGGGGGAGGGGAGGGAGTTTGCTTGGAATGGATCTTGAAAAAAGATTAATATCATATTAGATAATTACAATTAACATGCAGAAAAAGATTGGTTTTTGTTTCATAGCTTATCCACTTTATTAATATTTGTTTCATATCTTATCCACTTTATTAATATTTGTTTCATAGCTGATCCACTTTATTAATATTTGTTTCATAGCTTATTAATATTTGTTTCATAGCTTATCCACTTTATTAATATTTGTTTCATATCTTATCCACTTTATTAATATTTGTTTCATAGCTGATCCACTTTATTAATATTTGTTTCATAGCTTATCCACTTTATTACTATTTGATTCATAGCTGATCCACTTTATTAATATTTGTTTCATAGCTGATCCACTTTATTAATATTTGTTTCATAGCTGATCCACTTTATTACTATTTGATTCATAGCTGATCCACTTTATTAATATTTGTTTCATAGCTGATCCACTTTATTAATATTTGATTTTTTTAAATACCAATAATAAATAAATTTAAGTGACCGACGCTTACATCAATAGAATGAAGACGACTTATAAATTTGAGTTTTGAAATTATGTTCTTCTCAAATTTCAAGTTTATCATGCATACTGTTTGAAAGCATGGCCTGGACATCAAAAATGTAAATCGAAAGTTGTCTTCATTGTATTGATATATAAGCCAACGACTGTATTGAACGCAATAATATCTTACGGTGGCGAGTTTTTCAATGTATTCATCAGAGGCTCCGAGTGATGCCAATCCTATCTCCTGAAAATACAAACATTTTTTAAACAATAATTAAATTCAATAATTCATATTTTTCTTTTTAACACCATCGAAAAAAAAATAAGTTTTTTCCGTTTTCGTAGTTCTNTAAAAAGTTTTTTCAGTTATTAGTAAAATTATAATTAGGAATTAAGTCTTTACCTGCACAAACTCAAATTGTCTAATTACGTTATCTTTGCAACCTGATGGTGCAAGCCTTTGATATTTCAAACTTAGCTTTTTGATATAGCAAAGATTATAGTTTGAAATATCTATTATAAATTAGGTTGCAAATATATTTGGAATAGAAAATTGGCTCAATTCCTTTAGATTATTTGAGACAACTAAAACCATAGTTTGAATATCTTAGTTCTACAAAGAATGTAATGCATGGAAAGTTAATTGCAGTGTATACTCTGCGGACGTATTGAAACTAGTTCTCCCTGTGCGGAATTTGTAAACAAGAATAGATTCATAATGTTTGTTTAGTATCGGAGGGGGTTAAAAGCATTGAATTTTGATAATTTTGATAAATCACATAGTAGTTTCCTATGACCAGAATATTTCATTGATTATTTATGTGAAAGAATGGATCCCATGTCAGGCTTAGACATCCGTCTTATGTTCACATTACCTCCCAGTGACAGTACACTGCAGTACAAAAGATGCGTACTCCTCTGAAATAACTTTCCTTGCATTAAATCCGTGAGTTCTACGACATTGGTTTGCAAGGATAAAAGAACTAGAAAATCAGAGTGTTTGGCTAAGGCTCAATTTCTGTATGCAAAAATAAATATTTTTCTTCAAATTCCTGAAAGCAAGTCCAGCCAAGAAATCTCTAGAAGAGAGCAGGCCGGCGACAGGGCGCAGTTGAAATCCTGTTACACCTTTAAAAATACTGTTCATGTATCAACCAAGGTTATCTAACAAGGTTGCTTACTCTCTAAGCACTCCAATTTACGGGAAATGTCGTCTCTTAACTAAGCATAGACAAATCAAATCCTTATATGACGTTATCTACGACATTTACCCTACCTACAGTGCATAGAGAGTAAGCAACCTTATTATACAACCTTGGTATCAACTAACTAAAATAACTGTTGATGTTGATTCCCCGTTTATGGCTAGGAACGGGTATCATGTTTATAATCGTCATTCCTCGATTTCAATTTTTTTTTGTACCGAAACCAAACCCGATCAATATGAAATCGAACAGCAAAAGTGGAGTTAAGTCGAATTCAAAATAGAAAAACAAGCTTTTCCCGTTAACCTTCTTTAAATTCTTCTAATTAGAATAATCGGTTTAAACATTTTTACAATGTTTTTTTTTTCTTCTTTTTATGTCAGGTGCTTTTTAGAAAAAATAAATGATTAAAAAATGTTTACTCCTTAGATTTCTCCATATTGTAAAGTTCATGAATATTCAGAAAATAAATATTTGAAAAGTTTCCTGATTTAAGGAGTTGTGTTTGTAAAAAATTGGGCATTCTCGATTCACCCTTGAAACCTTTATCAAATAATAATATAGAAGATAAAGTGGATTTTCTAGTTCAAAAAATGTTTAATTTTAATAATTTTTCCATTGTTTCTGAAATTAGAAATGCTTAATTGTCACTTAGAGAACCCACAAATACATACTTACTTAACAAAGCTTTACAAGCAGCTCTTTTGTAAAAGTAAATTCAACCTAATGTCTGACTGCGTCAACCTTGTATAGCACCGGCTAGTCCTATTGAGTGTCTGCTTTATTTACCCAATGTCCGGGCAATACAGCACAAACTGGGACCGGAAAGGTTGACCCGGCTCGAAAATTCAAACGTACTACGGCTGTCTGTGTTTTAAGAGTACCTTTATAAATCGAACGTGTCATCTTTCAATGGAGGGTTCCTTGAAATTATGTCTTTACACAGTCCCTGATTTGCAATTGTGTGAATCCCGCAAATCTTTAATATTAAGATAAATGAGAAGGGAGGAATAAAAAATGTTGTTATTAATGGTATTCATAATCCTCTAGTTGCTGATAAATCTTTTAGCTAACCAGACTTTTCTTATTAACACACAGCTCTGCATATACAGGGTGTCCCACGAAACATAACAGATAGTTTTGAATGTCTTCTTTAATTATACTGTAATAGATATTAAAGACTTTTTGCAGTTAATTTAAATTTAAAAATATTTTACTCAAATATATTTTACTTTGAAATAAATTTTACTATAATATGAACGCCATGAAATATTTGTTATCATTCTCTTTAATATCAAACAACTTAACAAATTGTGAAAGAAGACATTTTAAACTATTCACCAACTGTCATGTTTGGTGGGACACCCTGTATATCTAACATTGAAGTAAATTTCACGATTGAAATATTTTATGTTTTTAACTGTAACTTCTCTTATTAAAGAACCGGATACATTTGCTGCTTGTGCCTTAAATCTATGCTAGTAGAGAAGCCACGAGGTCAAAAAGTCGCTCCGGCAACGTCCTAACTTGAAATATTGATCAACCCTGAAGAGACTAGTTTTCTACAATGTCCACTGTGCTTGCATAAAATTAAGGCTAGGGATTGCTGATTTTTTGTTCCGTTCGTTCATTGGAGTTTTATAGTTGTTAATTTTTCCCAATCGTCTTGAATAACTATCAATATCAATTTGATTTTTGTTGTTAGAACCACAGGCTATAGACACAGACTCCTCATAAGCTTTATGGGATAGGCTACGCAGGCGTATAGTTGTTTTGGCATGCCATGCTACATTTACGCAAAAGGAAGAAAGTTTGATATTTGTTGCAGCTGAGGTATATTGTCAGGTCCATAGCCACAGTTCTCCTCAAGAAGCGGGAACACGTGGTTATGCTCGTAACACGCGTGCGTCTAAATTTATCATATTAAGCGCGTGGTTATGCTTGTAACACGCGTGCGTCTAAATTTACCATATTAAACACGTGGTTATGTTCGTAACACGCAAAGTTCAAGTTGTATTAGTGCTCCGAAAATTCTGATCGATTTGAACAAAAACTTGCAAAAATACTTGAGACTTATTAAGAACAGTTTAACAAATTTGCAATGAACAAGATGCACATATTTATAAACGTCTAATAGTATAACAAAATTCAAAAAAATAAATAAGTCTCAAAAATCTATGGAATTTTTTTTTAAAATTATTTTATCCTCTACGTATGTGCTGTATCAAACTTCAAATTGGCTACATAATTGCTTGCGTCATTTCTCCTAAAACCTAACTGTAATATACGATTTTTATAATAGACTTCTTTTCTTTGTAAAAAATCTCTACTACCCACAGTGCTTGGCTACCCTATTGTGTCCTATAGAAATAAATATATTGGTATTTTCAAAACTGCAAAACCTCATTCATGAAACCGGATATCCGGTAGTATAGGTTTCAGGCTTTAGTCAATATATACAGGGTGTCCCACGAAACATGACAGTTGGTAAATAGTTTGGAATGTCTTCTTCCATAATTTTTTAAGTTGTTTAATACCAAAGCTTTACAGGAGTCATATTATGGTAAAATTAACTTCAAAGTAAAATATGTTTGAGCAAATGATTTGTTAAACGAAATAAATTGCAAACAGCCTTAAATATCTGATACATTGTATGGAAGACGACATTCAAAACTATTTACCAACTGTCATGTTTCGTGGGACCCCCTGTACCTTGTACAGTTTCTTAAGATTAGTGTACACAGTCCTCCATGTTGCTTTCTCCTCTTCCGTGTACTCCACATCTGGTATAGGATTACCACTAAAATATAAACATTTACAGAGACATATTCAGGGGGGGGAGGCTTTTGGGGCTCAGCCCCCCATCCCCCCCTGGATTAGTGAAACTTTTTATTTCCAGTTTTTTAAAATCCCCATGGGTGCTGAGCCCACCTATAGAAAATTGAAGTCGAGGAACAATGAATGAGGACGGATTTTATTCTGCTGTATATTGGTTTCCACTGATAGCCGGCCCAAAAATAGGGAATTGTTGTTTAGAATATTTAAATATGCAGGATAAAAAATAAAATTTTCGAGTTTTAATTTTTTTAACAAAAAAGATAATTTTAGTCTTTTAATTGAGCGCTGTAATGTCAAGTTTTAAAATTCAGGTCATTTCACTAATTTAACCCTATAAAGGCTAAGGTGTCTCAAGGTGTAAAGTGTGACACATGTTTCTACATGCATTTTTCAAGGGCTTTTTAAAAATATAGTTTTTGATCTGTAGCTTTAGTCACAAAAAAAGTTATGGGCTAAATTAGAATGTTTTTTCACAGACGGGACTTTTTTTCCGCCCTGTACCCTACCCTATAAATTAAAAAAAAATGTTTTTTAACAAAAATCCTTTAAATTACTATTCATTAAAAGTCACAAAATTTCACGGTGATAGTTTAGGGTTAACTGACATTTGAGTTTTTTCTTATTTCTAAAGTTGTGGAAGAAAGACAAGGCTGAATTTAACTTATAATTGTCTTTATTTAAGTTTAATGTCGTCATTAATTTCTATATCAACAACCTTGCAAGATTNTATGGGATTTTGTTCAAATTTTAAATTTTATAGTGCACATTAATATTACATATTTTTAACACCAGTGTCCGAATTTAATGAATTTAAGCCACGTCTCAAATCCGTCAAAAACTGGTTTTAATTAATTCAAGCCTGAAACACAGAATACCATTTCAAGTGGAACAAACCATTTTTGAGCCGCGGCTCAAATTCTTTAAATCCGGCCTTAGACTGGAGATCGTTTTTAAAATAGTTTTAAAGTAGTTCGCGAAAAATGTAAGGGGTTATAATTATGATAGGTTGATATCGAATAAAATTCGGTATCGATCGCAGCTAGTTTGACTTTGTTTGTTTGCGTATGTAAGGAAATAATGTTTTAAAATCCATATTGTTATAAAAATCTTACTGTTTATAGTTGAACGCAATATCAGCGCATTCCTTCCTCCTCGCCCTGTATACAGGGTCAGTAAACCCAGGGTGGTCGGAGTCAAGCTCAGATCCGTAAGTAAGAATCTGGTTAGCAAACCTAGAATAGTAGGTCAGAATCTGGTTAGGAAACCTAGAATAGTAGGTAAGAATCTGGTTAGCAAACCTAGAAAAGTAGGTCAGAATCTGGTTAGCAAACCTAGAAAAGTAGGTCAGAATCTGGTTAGCAAACCTAGAAAAGTAGGTCAGAATCTGGTTAGCAAACCTAGAATAGTAGGTTAGGATCTGGTTAGCAAACCTAGAATAGCAGGTGAGAATCTGGTTAGCAAACCTAGAATAGTAGGTCAGAATCTGGTTAGCAAACCTAGAATAGTAGGTCAGAATCTGGTTAGCAAACCTAGAATAGTAGGTCAGAATCTGGTTAAAAAGCCTAGAATAGTAGGTCAGAATCTGGTTAGCAAACCTAGAAAAGTAGGTCAGAACCTGGTTAGCAAACCTAGAAAAGTAGGTCAGAATCTGGTTAGCAAACCTAGAATAGTAGGTTAGGATCTGGTCAGCAAACCTAGAAAAGTAGGTCAGAATCTGGTTAAAAAGCTTAAAATAGTAGGTTAGGATCTGGTTAGTAAACCTAGAAAAGTGGGTCAGAATATGGTTAGCAAATCTAGAAAAGTAGGTCAGAATCTGGTTAGCAAACCTAGAAAAGTAGGTAAGAATCTGGTTAGCAAACCTAGAAAAGTAGGTCAGAATCTGGTTAGCAAACCTAGAATAAAGTAGGTCAGAATCTGGTGGAACTTGAAAATTTCTGTTCGTTAACGAACAGAAATATTTGAAAATTAACAGAACGTTCTGTTATCGACCGAAAAAGACGTTAATTTTTTAATTAAGCGTTCCTAAAAAAGTATAGCGGAAAATCAAAAAGAGGTATAGTATTGTTAAAAGTTTGATTTTGACATCCATAATGAGGGCAATTGCAAATTTGAGAAAAAGTGCTTGCCTTAATTAAAGTTATCATTGAAGAGTTGACAACGGTGAGGTAATATCGAAGAGAAATTTTTAAAATCCATAGAGGTCTGCTTATGTTTTTGATCAATGAGTGATCAATGATCAGTTGGGGTTTCTAGCAAAAGCAGACTTTCGGGCAAAATGCGCAAATTTGCATGCCTATTCCGCAAACTTTAAAGCGGAACTCCGAATTTTGCCAGAAATGAACTTTGCGGAACCAAGCGCAAACGGTCACAACTCCGCGCAAAAAAATTGTGAAAAAATATTCCGCGCAAAACTAGAGTTGAAGCTGGATCAAAAATTTGCAAACTTTTTACTTCCAGCGTGGAAATCTCTGCTTATATACATATAGTTGTCATCCAGCATCAGTAACTTTTCCTGCGTACAGTTTTCCTCGGAAATCATAATTTTCCCCTTGCTATTTGAGCACAGTTTTTTGCACATTTTTTCGTGCAATATTTTTGCAATTTTTTTGCAGAAATTCTGCATTCTTTAGCAAAACACATTATCCCGAAATTCTGCGCAAAAAGCGGAAATTTGCGTAATTTTTTCTACATATGAGATGCGCAAAAATGCAGAATGTGCAGTGGAAAAAAAATTGCGGAATTTTCACACAACTATTTTTTATTCCGCTGGAAATACTTATCACAACTCAAAGATTTGACTTCTGATAAAATGCTATTAAATGATGACAGAAATTTTGCCATTTTGATTTTTGTGTTTTTTTAAAGATTTTTTTTACAAGCAGAGTAACTGTTTAGTGTTTATCGCATTGTCATATAAGAGTAAAATGTTAAAATGTTACTTGTCTAGATCTTTAATATGAACTGGAAACCAGGGAACAGCATCAGAATTATCCTAAAAATAATTAAAGTTTCAAGTTATTAGTATTATTCTATATTTCTGTTCAACAAATAATTTTAAATTACTTTAACCGACAAAATACAGCAGAAAATACATTTTCTCTGAGTCCAATATTTTATCAATTTAAAATAAAATTATTTATTCATAAACTTTCTACCACACAGTCCCCCGTTACACAAATATTACAATAACCCCCTTTAGAAATACCTTATATTCCATTTACCATATGGTCCCTTTACCTTATAGTCCATTTACCTTATAGTCCCTTTACCTTATAGTTCCTTTACCTTACAGTCCCTTTACCTTATAGTCCCTTTACCTTATAGTTCATTTACCTTATAGTCCCTTTACCTAGTCCCTTTACTTTATAGTCCTTTACCTTATAGTCCATTTACCTTATAGTCCCTTTACCTTATAGTCCATTTACCTTATAGTCCATTTACCTTATAGTCCTTTACCTTATAGTCCCTTTACCTTACAGTCCCTTTAACTTATAGTCCCTTTACCTTATAGTCCCTTGTAATTATCTGGAAATAGGTTGCATTCTTTTTTATTTCCTCGAGAGCACCTTCTATATCTCCACTCTCAACATCTAACTGTAAAATATCCAAATTGTAATCTCTATAATAATCTCTATAATAATCTCAATAATAATCTCTATAGTAATATCAATAATAATCTCTATACTAATCTCTATAATAATCTCTATAATAATCTCTTTAACAATCTCTATAATAATCTCTATACTATTCTCTATAATAATCTCTATAATAATCTCTATAATGTTTTTTACTTTACTATAATTTTGTGGAATAAGAGTCTCCAACTAAAACATATTGTTGTAAAGGATTTAATGTGCATATTCACATTGGGCACTTTTAATAAGAGTATTAATGCTTAATATCTTCATTTTAGACATTCCTCCTCTTATCAAAGCTTTAATAAACCCCTGACTGAATGTCGAATAAAAATTCAATTAATCTCCAGATTAACAATAGATCAAGATCAAACATTGAACTCGATGTCCAAAATATAAGAGTTCCCAGCTCAGGGTTAGTTTAAAAATCAAATAAAGAAAATTAATTCTTTTCTCCATTTTACAGGAAAAAGAATGCATGAAGACAACAATATTTTCTTATTTGTATGATTCCTCCTAAATAAAAGTATTGCTTAAAACAAGTTAAAAATAAATATAATTTTATTCAAATCTTATATAACATCATGATTTGTTTTTCTTATTTCAAGTTTTAAAAAAACTGGTTTCTTGTATCTAATCTCTTAAGTTCTAATTCTGCACTGCTTAACGTTAATCTCTTCTTTTTTTTACTTTTAAATGACAAGATTTTCTAAACGGATATATATATATAGATGAAAATGTTTGCTGGATGGATTTTAATTCTTAAAATTATATTTTTCCTTAGATAAAGAACACAAATTACAACGATTAGGCATATTATCTAAATCATTCGAATACATCATACTCGATCATATATCACGACTTTTGAATATTGAATGTAAAATCTCAGGCAATATAGAATTATTTTCTTTTTAAATTAATAATTAATCATTGAAGCTTAATGCTTGATCTCTTTGTTATACTAAACCCGAGATTAGGTTAATACGCATTCGATATCCAAGAAAGAAGTTTAAAATTCATCCAATCAGCGTGTCATAAATATACGCTCTTTAATTTTTAAAAACCCGGGTTTTTTTGCGCATTTCTGGTGTTGATGGTATCATATTAATAGAACTATAAAGATTGATTGAATGAACTTAAGTTTTGGATTAATGTTTATTACGAATAACGTTCAAAATAACTATAGTCTTCAAAAGTGATAAAATATGTTTTTAATAAGTTCATATTCATGCATGATTAAGTTTATATTTGTTTAAATGCTTTAAAAGCTCGTTTGTGAACAGCTGACTTTTGTTCAATAAAGGATATTAGTCCAATTGATATAGCATCGTATCTGTAATTGTGATCAAAAGTAACTTTCATACAGTAGGGCTAGGGATATCTAATAAGAGAGGATTAAGAAGAAAATCAAAAGTGTGTCCATTGGATTATCAGATTTAGTAATGGGGATTAAGGATATCTCATTCCAAAGTTTCAGCTCTGTTATGGAAAGTTTTTAACTCATTATACTTTTTTGGTACCCTAGATATTTATACTTAGGAAATATTAAACACTTAATACAGGGTGTCCCAAAAAACATGGGAATTCAGTGACGAATTGGATTTCGTCTTTGTTATGAATCAGCATTGTAATACCTAATTTCAAAACCCATAATATTATTATGTCTGCTAGAGTTTATTTTAGGAAAAGGGTAAAAGACTGTAAAAGATGTGTCTATAATGTCTCCGCAAGTTGAATTGTGAAGACTGACAAGTTTACTCTGTTTGCGTTTGATGTCAAAACATAAACAAACAAAATGTGAGCATAGCAGACGAAACTCTTACAGATTACAGCTTTCTCAGTAGGTATCACTATATTAAATCAAAGAATTATTCATAAAGACGATATTGAATTCGTCACTGAATTCTTATGTTTATTGGGACACCCGTATTTAGCTTTATGTTTTTTTTTTTAAGAATAAATTAGCAAAATTATCATCAAGCTCATGCAACCTTTAGATCTCTCATGATCAATTTTGGTATGGACATAGTTAGAATAAAATTTCTATCATAACCTACTTTGAAATACTACTTATAGATAATACTGAGATTTATAGGATATAATTCTAAAATAAAATTTATCTAATTTACATATTCAAAATTTTAATTTTAATTTTAATTTTTGATTGATGGTAATAAGATAAAGCTGATACATAGCATTGTCATTTTTAACTAAGAAATTCTAACTGGATAATAAGACAAATTGTGCCAAGGAAAAATGTAGATTTAAATTATTTGGGTAGATTAATTAATGTTAATAGAAAAACTCGCTAAATTGTCAGTTTTATTAAATACAAAAAAGACGGTTTCAAAAGCAACATTTTACAGGTATAATGTTTAAGAGAAATTACGAAGCTCCAATAAATCCTTGTAGCATAGATTACAGAAACCTTGTAGCATATATTACAGAAACCTTGTAGCATAGATTACAGAAACCATGTAGCTTAGATTGAAGAAACCTTGTAGCAAAGATTACAGCAACCTTGTAGCATAGATTACAGAAACCTTGTAGCATAGATTACAGAAACCTTGTAGCATAGATTACAGAAACCGTGTAATATTACAGAAACATTGTAGCATAGAATACAGAAACCATGTAGCATAGATTAAAGAAACCTTGTAGCATAGATTACAGCAACCTTGTAGCATAGATTACAGAAACCATGTAGCATAGATTAAAGAAACCTTGTAGCATAGATTACAGAAACCGTGTAATATTACAGAAACCTTGTAGCATAGATTACAGAAACCATGTAGCATAGATTACAGAAACCTTGTAGCATAGATAACAGAAACGGCATAAAAATGTGACAGTTTTAGTACGGACTAAAGAGTACGATAACCATGTTTTAAGTACATTAACCATTGTGTTAAAGGTTAGATAATAATGGGTTAAAGTGTACGATAACCATTGGGTTAAAGAGTACGATAAACATTAGGTTAAAGATTACGATAACCATTAGGTTAAAGAGTACAATAACCATTGGTTTAAAGAGTACAAAAACCATTAGGTTAAAGAGTACAATAACCATTGGGTTAAAGAGTACAATAATTATGGGTTAAAGAGTACAATGACAAAGAAAATTATAACTTTTTTTCTTATCTGTGTTCTGTACAATTTGTGTTCCACATAACGAAAGATTTATATTGACAGGGTTGGCATATACTGAACTTTAATGCAATAACATGCAGTGATGCAATCATACAACTTTTTACATTTTTGAAAGAATGGATATTTTTTTTAATGTTCAAATTCATCTTGAACAAACCCTACAGTTGTTTTTAATATACAGGGTGTCCCACGAAACATGTCATTTGATAAATAGTTATTTTTAGTCAAACAAATCTATTGCTTAATTATATTTTACTTTGAAATAAATTTTAATATAACATGACTCCATTATAATATTTTTTATTGATCTTAGGTATTAAACAACTGAACAAATAATGGAAAAAGACATTCTAAGCTTTTCATCAACTGTCATGTTTCGTGGGACACCCTGTAAGTAATTTAGAAATAAATCCGGCTTTGACTTGTTTGTGTTTAGTTTAATAATACAAACAAACATAAAACGTTGAAATACCATTTAAAGTGGGATTTACGCCTCTGCAAGTCTCCAGGGATAAGAAGAAAACATATATGTCTTAATACAACGACTTATATAGATTGAAATCACATAAATCCGTCAAATATTTAAACAGTAATTTTTTTCAAACTCTACTTTTGTGTTTTTTTATAAAATATTTTGTTTTTGTTTTTTACACTTAATTTAACCATTTAATTTCTCTTTAAAATGCAGTGAACCATTCCTTGTACAGAACTATATTTACCTCAACCATGAACTCGTATCCAGGTAGACGAACAGATGACCGGCTCTCAATATGAACCAAGTTCACTGCATGCTTCTAAAAGATAAAGAGATTGTGCACTTTTTGCAGCAAGAGATAGATTTATCATTGAAGAACTTAGTTAAATGAAACAATATTTTGAAAATTTTCTTGATTATATCTAATAATATTTGTAATAACAAACATTTTAAAAAAATACTTTTATTTCACAGGAGTAATTAGTGTAATTAACCTTAAAAAAGAAGGGGGGAGGGGGGGATAAAGAGGTATTTTGTTTGGGATGGAGAGTAGGGTGAGTGGATGTTTTCTTAGTTGAGAGATGAGGGAAGGGGAATAGGGGGTGTTTAGGTATAGAAGGTTAATGGGTAGGGCGAAGGTATTATGGTTAGGATAGTGAAAGGGGGAGAAGGTAGTATTTTAGGGGGAATGGAGAGTAGTGGAAAGAGGAATATTTTGGAAGGGATAGTAAGTGAAAGGGAGAAGGGATAGTAAGTAGAAGGGAGAAGGGATAGTAAGTGAAAGGGAGAAGGGATAGTAAGTGGAAGGGAGAAGGGATAGTAAGTGAAAGGGAGAAGGGATAGTAAGTGGAAGGGAGAAGGGATAGTAGGTGAAAGGGAGAAGGGATAGTAAGTGGAAGGGAGAAGGGATAGTAAGTGGAAGGGAGAAGGGATAGTAAGTGAAAGGGAGAAGCGGGATTTACCTTAAATATCTTGAGAGTCTTAGCCAGAGCCCCAACCTCCTCCTCTAGAGAGAAGATGATGGACACGCTGTTCTCCAGCTTCTCACCAACCTTCAGGAACCTGCCTGACATCAGGGTAGCCTAGGATAGAAAGATATATAGAAAGATATATAGATACTTAGATAGATATATAAATAGATAGATAGATAAATAGATAGATATATAGATAGAGAGATAAATAGATAGATAGATAGATAGATAGATAGATATATTGATAGAGAGATAGTTAGAATTGTTTTTATTTCCTTTAATTAAGGTCAAGTTTGAGAATCTAAGTTAACCTCGTCATGCAAATAATTTATAAACCTGAATATAAGCTGCTTCAGCCATCTTTCTGAAACTCAATTCATTAACAAGTGCAGAAATTGATTATCTGACACAAACTCTGATTTTTTAAGTCCTCTATCTTTACAACCCAATGTCGTAGACCTTAGATATTTCAAACTAAGATTTCTGTTAGCTAAAATAATCTAATTTTGAAATTTGTAAACCTTACACTATCAGGTTGCAAAGACATATGGAAGAGCATATTTGATATTGGGGTCAAAGACTCAATACCTTCATCCGGAAAATAACATTCATTCTGAGAAGAGTAATTTTTTATCTAAGGACAGATTTTAGGAAAAAAATTGAAATGAAACTCCTTTCCAACATTTATTATTAAACACATGCATCACGTCCCGTCGAAACGAAAAAAGTTTACATCTTGGGAACAAACTTTAATAAAAATCAGAGAAAATAAAACTTATTGGCTGTCAAACAGGATTCAAAAAAGTTTTTTTTTTAATAGCTCATCTAACAAATTAATTGGTTTTTGAAAACATGATGGATTTCACTATGTTGAATGCTCGGCGTTGCCAAGGATTATGTCATAGTTTAAAGTTATTCCTCCCTTTTACCGGCGCTTGGTAATAAATCATGCTGAAAGGGCCAGGCGTTACCCGTGGAATTGAAACAAATATCGTTTGTCATGTCACCACCTGACCAATAATTCAGCCATTTTGGTCCAGACGTTTGGCCAGCTATACATTTATATATTTGCCCAGGGGGGGGGCGGAAGGGTCGTAGGTCTTTTTCCAAAGATTTTCAAATGATAAAATTGAGGATTTTTTTGAAAATCTTAGCAAAATGGACTTTTTTCAAAGTTAAAATTACTTTTTAAAGCAAAAAGTTTTAACGACGACCCCCCCCCCCCAGTTTATGGGCATTTTTACGTAACAGAAACACTAAGTAAAAAAACCGAATATAATGGGACAAAGCACATTTTTTAATATTAAGGCCTAATTCTGACCGTTTAGAACGGAATATTAGATAAAAAATGTTCATTCGTAAGCAAAGCTTAAGTGCACCTTTTTTCAGAGACACCCTATTTATATATAATATTATATGAGCAAAAAGCTTAAATATAAAGATAATGTTTGAGGGACTGATATGATTGACAGACTGAGGGCTGAGGTGTATATATTTAAAACAAAATGTGACCGCAAAGCGCAGTCTGCAGTATGGGTGCGCGTGACACAAGTATTTGGGGCATATATAAAAAATATAAAACAAATATTGGCAAAAAATAAAATAATAAAGAGATATTGGTAAAATAAAATTTTAACTTTAGAAATTGCAAGATAAGCTAGATATTTCATCAGAGTCTAGAGCTGCAATTAAATACCAAGAAAATATGTAATCTATTCCAAATCTACTTCAGCTAACCTTTACCAAAGGTTAAACAAGGGTGCAAAGGGAACGTTCATTCTTTTCATGGAGGAAGACATCTGAATTATAAATCTGTGATAGGAAATTTAAGCATTAAATAATATGTCTTTTAAAACGTAATAAGAAATATGTCATTTAAAACTTTGTATTTGGATCATCTAGTCATAAATCCTAAACAGGCTCATTAATAATCGAGAGTAATAATAATAATAATATTTTCTTCCTGTTTATATTATTTAAGGAGGGGAGGATAGCCAGCCACAACAATTTCTCGTCCGAGCCACATTAAACTTGAAAACTTTCACTCAATTGATACATTTTTTTTCGCTTTATGAAAATTATAAATATTTCATTTTTGCCATAACGTGGCCCGATTCTTAAAAAAAAAAATTTTATCTGTGAGAATTAAACACTTAAAAAATATTGGAAGGACGAGGATTTCGAGGTGGCTCGGACGAGAATATGAGGAGAATGTGGCTTGGATCATAAATTGTTATGGTTGGCCTTCCTCCCCTCATTCAAGGCAAAACAGAAACAAAAACTGTTCTAAACCTATAAAATGTTTGAAGAAAAACTGGTTAGTTTAACAATTCTAAATTATACAGTTTCATTTTGAAGAATTGGAGTTTCCTGCGGCAACAAACAGAGTGACCAGTTAATTATTAGGAAGGTTCTGTAAAATTTGCTACAGGGTGTCATAATCTACATATGTATATATAAATATATATTTATATATGTATCCTTCCTTCCCTCTCTTACCCCCTCCCCTCCATATAAGTATGGTTTTAACCCCCATATCATGGAAACCTGAACCTACCTGAATATATAGTAATAACCCTGATTAACATGTCTTATATATATATAGCTATGCTTGTTAATTACTGAATAGACCTATCCGTCGAATACATATTTACCTGTATCATTAAACCTAAAATATAGTTAGTTGAATATGAACTCTGTTTGAATACGGTCAGAGTTAGTTCTCAGTAGAGAGCATAGAGTACGAGAGCGAGTTGTATCTGGATTGATACCCACTTAAGAATACAGAGAGAGTTGTATCTGGATTCATACATACTTAAGAATACAGAGAGAGTTGTATCTGGATTCATACATACTTAAGAATACAGAGAGAGTTGTATCTGGATTGATATTTACTTGAGAATACAGAGGGTTGTATCTGGATTGATACATACTTGAGAATACAAAGAGAGTTGTATCTGGATTGATACATACTTAAGAATACAGAGAGAGTTGTATCTGGATTGATACATAATTGAGAATACAGAGAGAGTTGTATCTGGATTGATACATACTTGAGAATACAGAGAGAGTTGTATCTGGATTGATACATACTTAAAAATACAAACAGAGTTGTATCTGGATTGATACATACTTGAGATTACGTAGAGAGTTGTTCCTAGATTGATACAGACTCAAAGTACTATTGGAGTAAGGCATTTGTTACATATTTAAACATTTAAAATGTATATTTAAACTGAAAAATAGTTTAAAATACTATATATAAATCAATATTTTAAATATTGTGAATCAGCTTGAAACGGTTCATTAAAATAACATAATTTTAAACTAACTTATTTTAATTGGATCTTTTCATTTTTGTTAACACTGAAAAAGAATTCATAGAACCACAAACATTCTTTTTAGTCCGTGTTTTGATATATTTGATTTCTCTTCTTCTTTTGGATCAACTTTAGAATCTGAGATGTTTTGTTAAAGGGACAGTACGCTTAATTTCAGATGACCTCCATGTAAAGATGACGATACCTTTGATCAAGTATGGATTAGATATCGAAGTTTTTTTATTTGCGATTTTTCTGCGAAAGTGACTTGTGCATTTCTGGTTTATAAGAAGCAATGGAAAAACAGAAGAAAAAACACTTTTTGAGTAAGGGGGTGACATAAGCTAAAATAATCGAAATTTTTATTCTTCAAATTTGTTTGTGATTTTGAGATTCCTTGGGCAACGGTCACTTGAGCAAGTTTATCATAATGTAAAAACAAGTTTCCTTTTGTTCTATGGTGAACATTTTTTTACTTTAAACAAAAACTATCAATCGTTGTAAAAATTGTTTTCCAAAATTTCGTTAAATGATTCATGGTAATTATATAATTGATAGCAACAAAAATGGTCTTGATACAATGCAATCAAGGTATGATGAAAGATGTGAAAAATTAATTTATTTAAGATTTAACTTACTTTATCTCCTGGGTGTGCCATTGTTTCCTCTTCCTAGTCTCAAACTACAAACTAAACAGTAATTGAAAATGAAATTCATAGAGAAACCTAATTGTCTAAACTTTTTTTATTTCAAACTTAAACTATTTGATCAAAAATATTTGAAAACTTCAAAGGGATAAGAAAAACAGAGTTTGTGGCAAAGACTTTATATTCCTCTTGTTATTCCTTTTTCTACAATTTTTCTTGTTCAATTTAAAATGTTTGAATCTTTACAGATATTTTTATTTTATTTTTTAAGCTCCTCAATTAACCCTTTGAACTCCATGTTTTTACATATAAATTTATTCTTAACTTGATTTTTTTAATAATATTTCTCTGACGCTGGATTTTCGAACATTCCTGGAAAATATGAAAATGTCGTCTTCACTATCAAAAATCCTCGGAACAGGAATAAATGTTTTTATATGTAACTATCAGATCAAAAAAATAAAGAATACTATGAAATATCAACTATATGCAAATGCGTCGAAAGATTATCGATGATTGTTGGTTGTAATATCCGAATGATTTGAATGGAATAAATTGATTTTTTTTACAATCCGAGTTGAATGTTGCAACTTTCTGGTTTTGTATGGACGCTACGTTCTTAAGTATGAGTCGTTTTTAACAATTTTCTACTTATTATAGACTCAACAGATAGAAGTAAGATTAGTAGCGATGAAAAGCGCTTATTTTTCGCCGAAAGCCTAAACCCCCTTTAATTTTTCGCGAACACTCCCTTTAAATTTCGAGTTCTGAGATGACTGTACTGAACTTTTGTAATTTTGGTTCCCCGCAACTTTACATTAGCTGCATTCTTTTTCAAGTCATTAAGTTTATGAATTAAAGATTTCAAATCATGAATTTTATGAATTAAAGATTAAAGGTCGTCATTAAACTCGAAACCTTGGTTGGTAACTCTGTATGTAAATAATGTTTGAATTAATAAATAATATTTATATTTACAATCCAACTTCCAAGATTTTAACCTGGCACTGAGTTTCATAAAAATAAAAAAATCCAATTTAATTCATACTTACAGAACGTTAAGCTTTCTATAAAATTTCTAATTTTTAATATTTTAGGTTTTTTAAGAAAACTTCTCTGTTTCATCGTTTTAACAGGATATGTACTATTTACATATGCTTTATATGTTTGCTTCTGTTTCTATTTCAAAGAAAAAAACATCAAAAATTTTAGTTTCAACAGGTAAAGTTCACCAAAAAAATGATCCATATTTAGAATTTTCTTTTTCACAAAAAATATTTGATAAAAAATGTGCAGTAATTTAGTGTGTTGTACTAATTAAACACGTATTAGGTAAACTAGGTCTGTTTGCACTGCACAATTCCTGTGTCTTATGTTCATCGTACTTTTTAAAGGTTTAAATTGATTTAAAAGTTGTCTT